TTTTCTTTCAGATCCTGATTACAATAAGTTTCTTGAAATTTACAACGGCGATGACGACAAGATGGCATCAACACCTGAGACCCTGCTGGAAGAGATTGAGGCCAAATCAAAGGAACTGGTTGGTATGTGAACAGTCCCGCAAATTAAAAAGTGCATCCAAAACATTATTTTGTATCTGTAGAACAAACACACTCTTGGAGGAAGGATTTCATGTGTTTTTCTCAATTTAAGCTAAAAAAACAACTCCTCTGCTGGACTTCCTGAAGAATAAACAGGTACATTTAAAGGTGGGATACAATTATTAACGTTAAATTGCATGATCAGGGCTGGCTTCATGTTGTGTTTGAACACTTTTCAGAGAATCAGGGAGGAAAAGAAAGAAGAGAGAAGAAGGAGGGAGCTTGAACGCAAGCGTGTGCGTGATGAGGAGCGTCGCAAGTGGAGGGAGGAGGAGAGAAGGAAGCGCAAAGACACCGATAAGATGAAGAGACTCGACAAACCGCTGGAGAAAGACAAGGACCAAGTGAAAGAAGAACCAAAGATTAAGGTGTGTGCTGCAGTCAACTAAAGCAGTTTAAAAAGGTTAAATCTACAATGTTTCATGATGTCTCCCATTTGTTTTCAAATGTTTAGCTCCTGAAGAAGCCAGACAGAGCTGAAGATGCTGATTCTGAGAAGCCCAAGGAAAAAACCAAGAAACCAGAGAGGCCCAATAAAGAGGACAGACCCATGGGGGGTGCTGATCATAAGAGGCGTCAGCACATCGATAATAAGGAGGATCGAGGAAGGAAGTTAGTAGCTGCAGTTATATGGTTTTTGAAAATGCATATCTCACCTTGAACAGAATACTCAGACAGGATTTGTGCTTCACACACAGAGGTGAGGAAGACGGGAGGAAGGAGTTCAGGGAGCGCGACCCAGACCGAGACAGAGAGCGCGATGGAGAGCGGGAAAAGGAGCGCCGCCAGAGGGAGAAGGAGCGCCTCAGGCGACAGGACGAAGACCGCCGGAGAAGGAGAGAGCGCGAGAACACTTTCAGGAAGGAGAAAAGGCAGGATGAGGCTAAAAAGGATAAAGAGCGGGCCTTTGAGAAGAAGAAGGGAGATCACACTGGAGAGTCCAGTCGCTCTGAGAGGTCAGAGAGGCCTGCCAAAGACCACAAGAAGGAGGAGAGCCTGAAAAGAGATCGGCTTCGAAACAAGGTAATGACTGTGTTTGGAAATCACATTCTAACATACTGCACACTACATACTTGTATTCACCGCATACTGCCAATGAAATACTTCTTCTCTGAAATATAGCATAACCGTATTACTATACATTTTTAGTTTATGATAACAATACTTTTATATTTAGAGCCAGTTACCTTTCAAATCAAGTTATATTTACAATCATTTTCAGTGTTATACTACACCTTAGCCAATCAAAAATAAAATGGAATGAAATGTCAGTATGCAATACTCAAAAAGGTTTGGCTTATATCGTCACGGTTAATTGCACTTATATTAACGTGCCTTAGATAAAAGTGTCAGCTCAACGTACTGTAATGTATTTCTAAGAAAGTTGTTTTCTTACATCAGGACCGGCCTACCATTCAGCTGTACCAGCCCGGGTCCAGAACCCGCACTCGAGGAGGAGCCGAATCCAGCTCTGCCGACAGGAAGCCAGACACCGAGACGGAGAAAGTGGCTGACAAAGGAGACGATTGAGCAGATTTCTACTTATGGCATTTTAAGTTTGGTGAGGAGAGGGGAGACAGGCCTGTGAGGCTCGGAGCAGCAAGGTGGCGCCTCAGGGCGACGGCACTGCAGCTCCAGCACCCGGCTCTCCCAGTCTCAGGGGCAGAGGAATGATTGCAGAGCCTAGCAGTGCCTGAATGTGTCCCTCTTTAGTTGTATTTGTTATGTAAGGTAACAGTAACCTTTGGAAAGAGTTTGGCTGTTGGGCACATTGGGTGAAGCCAAAGCTTTCTTGGACCACGTGAACTTAAAGTGACCTTATGTCAGTATTGTTTCTCTCATGTCAAGTGTTGCAAACGGTGTCTATTTAAACATATTCATCCATATCACAGTTGTTAATTTACCAGTTACTCAAAATGTCATCAATGCTATCAATATTGTTCTACTCTGTCTTGAATGGGATTCTGTTTTAGCACTGACATTTTCAGTTTCAAGTGTTCACATGTTAATCTTCCTCTGCCTGGGGAACTTCAATTAAAGTCCGTAACTCTCATATTCTGTTATAGGCTTCCACATATGCTGAAGTACATAGTCTGTATTTACAGGTTTGGGATCATGTGTTTTGTTCATACAGTGTCTGAGGAGAAATAGCCATTTCTGACTAGACTGCCATGTGACAGCTACGCCTGCATGCACACTTCAATCAGAGGGATCAACCTGTGGCCTTCGCCCCTTTTTCTAATCTGAAATTCCCCTTAAACATTCATGTGTGATGCACCAAACTGAATACAGCATGAGAATGATGTAAACATACAAAAACATTTTTTGACTGGATTAAAAAGATATTTGCTTAAATTTACATGCTTTGGTTTATTTTATTAAAGTGTGGGACTTTGAGCTAATTCATAACACTGTAGACGTTTAGTTTTGACACCTGTTCTAATATTCCTATGGTGGAATACGAAATGATTTTATTTCATTATTTGAAATATCCATGGTTTAAGAACTATATTTGAAAAATGCACCTCCCTCATGAACACAAAAAGACCTTACATGCAGATCCTGCTTTAGCTGGGGACCTATTTCAGTGGTACACAAACAAATGTGCAATAAGATTCCCTAAAAGCAGCCACAAACTACTTAAAATAGTGTTATGTAGTCCTATCTATAGTATATATTTCTATTAGCTATTCATATGAATTATTTGTAAAGTAATGAGTAAATAGACGAGTAACATCCTATAGTAATAGAAGAATAACTAAGTATCAGATAAAGTACTTTAACAAACGATAGAACATATACCTCAGCATATAATGATATATAACTGTTTTATAAAAGGAAAAACATACACACAGGGTGTGAAATGCATCACAAATTCAAATATTACAGACATAAATTAGGGTGAAAAGAGGAAACAAGGACAATAAAATAAACAGATACATTTTGAGTTATAGAATATAATCTACATGTTAGAGAATATATGCCATATTATACACAGCTAAACAAAATTGCAATACCTGGCACATAGTAAATAGCAATATTTTATTTTCACCATTTATAAATTGTTCATAAACTCTGAACAAGAGGTGAAACTTTTCAGCACATCAGGTTACCTTGGCGCAAACATTATATTTGCATGTGAATATCTTGCCTATCCATCAGCTTGTAACATAAACTCTGTAGATGAGTGCAACAGGTCGTATAACATCTCCAACACAAGCCAGAGTCCATGCTGTAAAGACGCATCATGCCTGAAGGGCCTGAGATGCAGGTAAACATCCCCTCCACCTGGTGTCGCTGTCTGTAGAACCTTCAGCCCGTTCGGTGCGCGCTGATTGGATAAAAGCCCCGACGCTACATCCGTCTTTCTCTTCGACCACCGCCATAGTTCGGGAAAGGATTGTGGGCAAAAATGGTAAATGCTAAATCTTTAAACATCCTTGTCTACAGCCCTTGTAAACCTACACCAATATATTGTGTGATTAATAGATGTATCAGGGGTACCTCACCCAGCTGTATGTTCTCTAAAAAGATTGTATATGATGACTTAAAAGGGCTGTTAAATGATGCTAGCCGGTACCCACTCTGTTGAGCTACGCATGTTAGCTTTAACTTCCTTTAGACATGCTAGATGCTTTCTTATAGTATTTTAAGATTTATTTAAAGTTTTAGACATGCAGCATTGGTTTGTAAAAATGTGTTGACGTGGTGTTAATGGCGACCTTTTTTGTTTTTCCAGTCGTCCCACAAGACGTTTAGGATCAAGCGCTTCCTCGCCAAGAAGCAGAAACAGAACAGGCCCATTCCTCAGTGGATCAGAATGAAGACTGGAAACAAGATCAGGTGAGATTATCGTGTGTTTTTGTATACTGTGCATCATGTTTTGTGAGGGTGGAAAAGCGTACGGTCTGTACATGTGGACACGCCGTATGGAAGTGGATTTGTAGTCATTGTGAGGTCACAGCAATTCACTTCTTTACACTTAGCGAGTGTATTGGGTGCATCTATTTTGCATTGATGTAGGTTTTAACATACCATGCTCAACAAATATCAAACATTTGATAATCGATACTTCATTCTGGGTTGAGGAAACTTCCTCAAAGATGACGCCATTAAGTGGTTGTCAGTCAAAACCAAACAATAGTCACATTATTTCGAAAAGCATCCATATCCATGTGGCTGAAACGGCCTTATCTGTTTTGCATTGAATATTTTTAAAATATTTGGCTACTTTTTTTGTTACTCTATTCATCAACTTATAATTGCTGCACTACTTTAAAGGCAGCTAAACTGCTTTGTCAGCATAATGGTACACTGACTAATGTATACCTAGGCCTTACACTCAATATTTATAAGTAATGATACTACCACTACATAAGTGCTAGACATTTCCTCATGTAGCATTACCTTATTTATTTTATTGTGAGGTTAATTGGTACACCTTATGTATTCTAGTTGGATGAAATAAACCCATCCAATACGTTACAACTAATTAGTAAGATGACAGAAGTTGAAGTCACGTAAATGTCGTCCAAATATACTAATGCAATATCTTCAAGTGAGTACATTTCGGTTTAAGCTTCAATGACCTCATAACTTCAACAGTAAAGTTTACTGAGCATTCAAAGGAAGAGTGAAATAGGAAATATCCTCCAAAGGTGTAGCAGATTATGTCCTGTATGAGAGGTTGTTATGTGTTCTGTATTTATTTTTATTATAAATGGTTTTAAAATCACTCAAGTGTTGAGCTGTCTCATCCCTAAGTGCAGAGAGATGCATGGCTGGCTAATGCAGGTTAGAAGCAGGAACTTCATGTCATGTAAAGCAGGTCTGCAATTGCAGCACTCCATTTCATTAGAGTGTTGTCATTAATCCTGCTGAGAGTATCTCTGCTGCAGAGCCCTGATTCCAGCTCACCATGGTGGTGATGAGGAAGCTCTGTAGCTGAACATTCACTTAGTCCCAAATGGCTGATCTGTCCACATGTTCTCCTGGTAGATTTCCAAAATGTCTTGTATGGAACAAGTACACATGGCTACAATAATTAGGTCCAAGTGAAAATAAATGATGCATGTAAATTTGACCTCAGAAGTTAATTTATAACTATCACCCAGTTGTCAGGGTGGTGGCCTTTTGAAATCGGAGCCGCATCAACATATTTTGCATAGCTTCAACTGAAGTCATTGGATTGTGTGATTTTAGGCTACAATACAATTCTGAAAATGTTACACCGCACAGATGACCTGTAAATATTGTCAGATACATTTAAAATGAAAATAATCGCTGGTTGCATCCTTTAATCCACTAATAAATGGATATTGGTATTATACATTATGGTATTAAGTACTTGAACACTGCTAACCTCCTGATTTTGATGTTGAATTTCAGGTACAATTCCAAGAGGAGACACTGGAGGAGGACCAAGCTTGGCTTGTAGACATGGGGGACCGTGGATCCCAGCCTCCCTCCATCCCAACATCTGCCAGGACCTCCAGCTGCTGGGCCTGAGCACCGGGGGAGCCATGTTATCTGGAGCAGCCGACGTTTTTTACATATACTCTGGTTATGCTCATGTTTGACAATAAAACATCTGTGATCAAACTTGATATAAGGATTTGGGTCATATTTTTCTAATCCATTTACAGAGTGTTATGAGAACCGCACATGGGGAGTGGTAATGCTGACACATCACTCTTGACCACAGCAGCAAATGCTTCTGAATCTTGTTTTTTTTTTGGGAGATCGTAGCTATTTGTAGTTGTTAGAATCTGAACTCTGACTTTGTTGCTTGTGCCAGAGACAGCAATGCTATTTAAGAAGTGTAATCTAGTAGCAAGACCTACGATATGTTTACCCAAGTGGTAACACTGGAAAAAATGTGCCACATCAGTGAACAGGAACATCTGGTTGTTGACACAAGCAGTGCTGGGTCAGCAGCAAGACATGTTTAGAAAAAGGCTCTTTACAGGCAGTAGGCTTTATTATTTGGGTTCAATGAGTTGCCACAATCATTTATTGAAGTGCAGTACATAAAATGGATGCTTTTGTGAGTGAATAGAAACATGAATGCCCTATACTAAGTGATCACTTAAAGACAAGCCATATCTATTTGACCCCCTCGTCACAGTGACATGGTGTACAAATGAGTAACGAGCAGTTACATTTAAAAGGCATGAGGTGAAAGTATTTAAAGTCATTGACGAAGTCAAACATTAGAAAACTGTTATCCCTGTTGGATCACAAAAATTCAACATAAGGAAATCTGCAAAACTAAATATTAAAACTAGTAATACGTGTTGATTTAAAGAGCAACACTGCCCTATGAGCATTTTGATGAATGCTCAAGTAGCCAACTCCAAGACTTTTACAGATATAGGCAGAATGTTTGCTTCATTAGACTGGAAACTGAAGATAATGTAAAATAATTCACATATTTGAAGGCCTGTGTCAAACACTCAGCTTTTGCTTCCAAGAAATGAAAAGGATGGTAGCAGTTTCCTTAAAGAGCCAAACCCCCAGCTGCCCCCCCTCTTAGTCCGGTCGAAGGAGTGCATATCTGTCTCTCCATGATCGACCTCATCATATGCGGTCAAGTTCATTGCGCCAGCGCTGTTGTTGACGTTTTTGTAGACATTTTGTGCACATCCTCCGCAGCTGTGCTCGTCATCCCAGGCCCCCAGCAGCTCCTTCATCTCAGGCGGGGCGTCTCCCGGCAGATACTGCCAGGCTCTCTTCCCATTGTAGTCCATGGCATCTACGTTGGCACTGAAGGCTCCGACCAGCAGCTTGATGACCATGAAGTGTCTGTGCTGGCTGGCCACATGCAGCGGGGTCAGCCCGCCGCTGCCCTGCACATTCACGTTCACCGGGATCCCCGCATCTTGTGCGAACCGCAAAAGTTTGAGCAGAGTCTCGTCCTGTCCTCTCTTGGCCAGCCAATGCAGCACCGAGTACCCGCTGATGAAATCCCTCCTGGTCAACAGACAGGGGTCTTCGGAGATGAACTCCAGGAGGGTTTCATAGTTCCCCTCCACTGCAGACAACATCCAGGCGTGCTCCATCGCATACAGAGCCCAGTCTGCGGCGTCTTGCTCGGAACACACACTGTAGGTCTGTGAAAGCACGCTGCTCGACGGGTTGCTCAAAAGCAACTCTTTCAGGTATTTCTTACGCATAGCGGGTGTGAGAGAGCTTCTCTCCGGATCCTCCCTCTGGTGTGCCCCCGGCTCGCAGCTGTTAGTGACCTCCAGCTGCCTCTGCAGCCGCGACCTACGCTGGAAAGCGCTGGGCATGACCTGCGTGCCATACCGAGAGAGTCGCTCCACAACGCTGCCCTGTCTGGTCCTCCGGCTGCCGTGGGTGTCGGTGTTACTGACCGCTGGTCCACGGCCAGCTTCACCCGATCTGCCCTCATTCATGCTGCCCGAGTGAGCTCAACGTTACTTCCCCGAAGATAGTGTCAATTTATCAGCTGGGGACAGTTTCCCTTAACTCCACTCATTCCTGTCATGGGAGGAAACGGTTTATTAATATATGTAGGCCTATAAACTCATGTATTCTAATAGTCTTAACATTATGTCAAGTTCCTCATTTGAAAGTATATTACACAACAAGAATGCATTCCTTTAGTACGATATACCAATTTTCAGTTTTACTCTGTATCCGGCTCCCCCCACTCAAGACAATTCTACACACCTGTGTCCAAAGTTCGTCCAATTGTATAGACCATTACACCTTAGTATTCCCCTTCCAGTGTTGTGGGTGAAGACACAAAATATGGATTTATAGTTTAAGGATTTCTCAAGCCAAGTTGATATCCTCGTTTCCTTTACAAGAGGAACTGAGACAAAGCTCATTCTACACCAATAGGGAAATTGCCACATGTGACCAGTGACACTGATGGACTTCAAAAGCAGGAAGTAAAAACATTGTTACTCCCTTGACACTTAACCAGCCAGTCACCCATTATAAAGAAACACTGTAGAGCAACTAGAAGAGGTAAAAGGGACAGATAAACTTTATTTTTAAAAAAAAAAAATGTCATAACACACATCAACATTTAGTCAGTAAAAGATTCTGAAGGAAGTTCAACTGTCAGCTCATCAAGTGTTTGTAGAAAAGCGTCCAGTGCTGAGCAATCGTCTGGAGAGGGGAAATAATCTGGAGGGGAAAATACAGCAAAGTTAATCATACAGCAGGTTAATGATACCTGTAGTTTTAAATCTGTGCACCATACTTAATGGCTACACCTGCTAGACAATTGTAGCTTATGCAATGCTGCCATTACAAGCTTTCCCATTCACGTGAGATAATGTTGCCCGAAGCCTACTTTTTGGAATGCATACACTAGTAAATTATTAAAATGTGATGCTTTAGCCAAAACAATGTGCACTTTCATTAATAAACAGATTTCAGTTATGGCATGAAATTACATATACTGTGATAACATTGTATCCACCCTGTGCTTCAGAGAATTTAACATCGACCAATGCTCATGTTTTTGAATCCATAAATATAGGTGTGAAGTCAATACCTGAACGATTTGGCATTTTTACAGGTGACAAGTTTGGAAGTGGGGCAATCTCAATAAAGTCCTCCTCAAACAGGTCTGGAGCCTGTGGGAAACTGGCCAAACCAGGCAGAGCAAAGCTACCGAGAGCAATCAAATCCTCAGGTATGCTGTACCTCTCAAACTCTGGAGGAAAAAGAACACAACTTTTTTGAAGTACACGTTTCAAAACTGTAACACAGCAACCGCATGGGGGGAAATGAACATTATACATGTTGACCCATTGACATGTGCATTTTTCTTATATACAGATGGGCCTCAAAGAGCCGAGTCCTGAGGGGAATTATTGGACTCAAGGAATCAAAGCTAATCAGAGGATGCAGTGATTTACACAGAAAGTCCGTTCTCATTGTGAGGATGATCTATAAACTCTGACTTTCATACCAAAAATGAATGAACTCTAACAAAACTGTCAGTGATGAAAGTGTTAATTACCTAGCGGGTCATAAGGGATGCACTTTTCAATTTCTGCATAGTCCTCCACTTTGGTCTTCTGTTCTGAAGCATGCTTGACTTTGGTTTCCTGTAGGGAACAAAAGATTGTGTCAACACACGTGTTGTTTGAGGCATTAAACACAAGATAGCCCGAGTACTTTCTGAAATTGTAACTTCTGTCGTTTATTCCAACCTGTGGTTTTAGGGTTTTCTTCTCTTGTGTGTTTCTAGCAGGGGTTGACATGTTATGGTTCACAGCACCAAAAGCTTTGCGACGACTTGGCGTGATTAAACTGTTGGCAGTCATTAAACATCCAAGTTGTTCTAGTTCGGGGGGAAGGCAAAATATTAAACCATGTTTCTATACGGATCAATATTACTGCTAGAAGAAAAATAAAAATCTTCAAAAATCACAAGGTTGGCACTCATACCTGGAGCAGACTGAATCCGCTGGCGCATCTTCAGTGTAGGCGGATGAAGACTTGCCATTTCACGCTCGGCAAAGATTATATGGGCCATTGTATCTGAAAACACAATCTGATATTAGCTACTGCATGACATAATGTATCACCATGGAAGAGACTCTGCTGTGGCAGACATTTCGACACATAGCAAGAGGAGCATAGGTAACATTGTTGCCTTCACATGGCTATTTTTTTGCAAGTGCAGGCTAATGTAACAAAACCATCATTAATGCTTTTGGAGCCGAATCAGTGAAGCAATGTTATCAGCAGAACATGGGAAACAATATCGATTGTAGTCATATTTACACAAACACCAAGGCTTGGCTCTTTATCTTGAAAGAGGTGTATCAGGGGATCAGGTCCTGTGAAATCATAACTAGTTCTAGTAGTCCCTGTGGCTGTGTTTACTCAGCATCTGACTCACAACATTTAGGAATAGTAAAGTGTACTGCAAATAATAGCCAATATGGCAGTGTTACAGCACTTAACAGATGTAGCTACCATTAATGAAAGACACGGACTCTCGTTTGGCAAGTTGGCTGTCTACGTCTGCCTACCCAAATATTCCGTTTTTCATGTAACACTTCACTCTACATCTTCATGATTGTTCTGTTAAGCTCAATAAAATCAAACTTAGTTTTATTTGTTTTTCTCATGGAAACGTTACATACAACCTTTGCAAACATAACAAGCACTATGCTAACAATAATTAGCTTACTTAAAATGTATATACAATGGTCACATTTAACCATCACTAGCCAACATAATGCCACATGACTGGCAGCTAATAAAGGGTCGATTAACCTTCCGTTTACATATTGAGGTCAAGTTATTGAACTATTCTTGAGCTAAATGTAAGACAGTTAGTTTAGCTTAGTTAGCTTGCGTTAGGCATCTTATTTTCATTATCCCTTTTCTAAAACGTAAAAGTGTTAACAAAAGACTCAACAGTAACATTGATACACAGGTGTTAGCAATTAACGTTACCTCGGTGTGGTTAGCGTCTTCGGTTGCTGCTTTAGCTCTCGAACCTCTGAGTTGTTATGATTTGGTCGTAGATTCGGAGTGACCGCGGCTCCTTTTTAAATTCGCTGCCTTCTTTCTATTGGTCGATGTAGCACAGAGGATTTGAATGGGCGTCACCAACAAAATAATTTGCACTACATATGGATTAAATAAAGGTTGATAAATAATCATAAAGTGGAACATCTTATATGTATGTTGTTAATATTTTAAAGTCATATGAAAAAATTGTAATAATGAGAGTTTTGACACTAACCACAAAGTAATTAAAACCGTTTGTAACGTTCATTGACTGTGCATTCGCACTGGACGACACCATTACGACCTTCTGTGGGTGAGATCAGTGGGCAGTGCTTTTTAAAAATCATATTAAATTGACTTCTATATAAAAAAAACGAGGCGGAGTGTTTATAATTGTAATATTTAAATAACACCCAATGTGATCCCGGTTATCACATTATAGTATGATTGCAAAATATCCCTTTGAACAATGGTACATTCCCAGTAGGCCATCTTTCGGTGTAACTTGAACGTTGCAGCTTCCTCTGCTAACAGAGAGTAGTAGATGTTCCGTCCTCCACCTAGCAGCTACCACCATGGCGTCAACTGAGATAGCAAGGCAAGCGGTGAGTAGCCTCATTTTACTCTGGGTGCCATTGTCACTATGAACATAAATCTCTGTTATTTCTTTGCTGGCCTATATAATATGAAATATATAATTTTAGCGTTACGAGGGAGAATTTAATTTGGAATAGGTAAACGCAAGCTTTCATCCGTGTTTCGTGGTTTTATTGAAACCCAAATTGAATGTAACGTTGCTAATGAAACGACATATGGTGGCGGTTATCTATCACAAATCTGATGGTGCGTTTCTAAATCTCTAAGTATATCCGGTTTTAAAGTAAGGCCTGCTCATTCGTTGCATTCTTTGAAATATATTAATTCAGGTATTTACATTGTTGTAAGCTAACGCCTACAGGTATCCTGTGCTGATGAGCTTAACATACCTTTCAAACAAAATGGTGTTTTGTTGAATGTACTGTGTTAAATACTTTGTTGTAGACCCCGTATTAGCTAACTGATAATAAATCCATCGGTAGTAGGCCATTCATTCTTAACGCCCCCATTTCAGCTCAGCTACGGTGCTCATTTCCGTTATGTTGTTTCTTGCAAGTCCCGTTAACTTTCATTCGGGCGTTGTCTTATATTCATAGAAAACATGGACAAAACGGAGCCAGTTATATGCATTTAGTCCGTGCAATTTTACAATATTGTGTAAAGTGTGCTCGTTTCTTTTATTTAAGTGGAAAAGAAAGCCTCTACACCAAAAAAACTGCCCAGAATAGCAAGGTTTTGCACTTTGATTTCCATTGTGGCCACACAAAATGAAAATGATTGAGAAAACCTTCTGTGTGTAACTTGGCTGTGAGTGTTTTAAAAAGCAGGAAAGGTTTCAGGAATGTTGCACTTGCAGCTGAAGAGGAAATGCTGTTTGTTGAGTCACAATACCCCCAGTTTCCCAAATACTCCCTCAGCTGTTTAAACCCAATTTCAACTATCCAAATAATCCACAACTGTCCAGTAGCATCAGCTTGACCCGTTTATTTTAAACTGACCCGCAAACGGAATGTTTTCCTGTCAAAGCCACATTGAAAAGCAAGTGTGTTACGCTAAGCCACATAATGGCTGGTTGGCTGAGGTTTAGCTGGTTTAGAGCTCTTGCTTTGCCATATAATCTAAATTCTTTGCTTTCCTGCACCTCATAATGCAGACGTGGGCTGCAGAAATGAGATTCACAGGGATTGAGATACTCACCAGCAGCCACCCGCCCACACACACATGTAACAACAGTGCTTTTACACATTGGTGTTTGGTGTTACTCTGGTCCAGAGATAGACTGTGGACAAACAGAGTAAGGTAGATTGAAAGGGAAGTGCAACTGGCCAAAAATAGGGAGTTTAAGGGTCAAAGTGAAACCTCAAAAATCAAAAATGCTAGCTGTATTAACTTGACTCGATCAGCTTTAAGTTATATATTTATTGTCAAAGCTTTCTGTTTTGTTTTTTCAATTATCTTGACACATACGACAATACCTTTCCATATATGTACATTGTGGTTTCGAACTGTCTCGTCTGTGGGAAGAAAGTTACTGCTCAGCAAACAGGAAGTGAGCAACATTGCACCTGAAATCAGACTAAAAAATGTAGAGCAAATATGGTGGAACGTGTGGTTACGAGGAAATACAAATGTTTTTTAAATATGTTGTTATTTATCCACTTAACAACCATTTAAAGAGTTGTAAATGTTCATTATAAAGTGTTAAATAGAAGTCTGTGCATTTGTACAGAAATGAGAACACAGTGCCGTAACAAGGCAAATGAATGCAATGTCAGTGACATGATGTTGTTATGTTGATTTCCTTTTATTTTAGGGTGAAGGTGCTCGCACTGTCCCTCTGGCAGGCCATGTCGGCTTTGATAGCATGCCTGACCAGTTGGTCAATAAATCTGTCAACCACGGATTCTGCTTCAACATCCTCTGTGTTGGTGAGTATGTCATGCGTGAAAATGCTTTTACTCTCTCTCTCTCTCTCTCTCTCTCCTTGGGCTAAAAGACTACTTATTTGCTTCAATGAAAGTCAGGCTTTCCCACAAGATGTAAAGCATGTTGCTCAGTATTTGATGCGCTTAGATTCCTTCGGGCAAGTCAGCATTGGCTGCCATGATGAGTAAGATGCTCTGGGTTAAGATAGGAACTTCATTATTTAATTTAAGTGTACATTTTTTGTATCAGTATGGCTGTCACTATACAGAGCAAGCCTTTTGCTGGATTTGTGAGAACACTGAGAAATGGTGCCTGAGATGGACAAGTCAGTTCGGCTTCAATAAGTGCTTGGATTATTCTGTCAAATTATACACTCGGGTACCTTTTTATTTGATGCACTCAAATACAACTAATGAAATCTAATACGACAGTCCCTCACTAAACCCGAGCTTTTTTGCAAGCGATGATTCAGTTTGTGTTGAAGATGGCGTTGGTAGGCGTTGATAACACTTTATGGCCATTTTTGGTGCTGTTTTCATTTCAGTGTGTTGTGGATAATACGAAGCTTTGCTTATATCTTCCCACTTTATGTGTAGAAATGAGTGCTGGTTAGAACTTCAGATGTTTAGGCAACATTGCATTACTGCCTGCCACACACAGTCTAACTATATTTGTTATTTGGAATTATGTTGTTTCAGTGGCACATCAAATTGCCAAGCAGCAATGGAAAAGTACATGTTTTTTTCCCCACATTTTGGTTTGTTTTTCCCAATTACACCTTCTAATGTTAGTCTACACAGAGAGGAAGGCATGCCACCAACACACTGAACTCTAGACGGATATGTTCTAGATCACATTTCTGGTGATGCTACAGTTTTACTACCAGCAGTAGCAAACATGACAATTTGGGTTCTAAGACCCTGTATGCTATCTATTTTAGGATGTGTTCTTATTTAGAGGTCTAGTTACATAACTACAATGTGTGTCTTTAAAGATTTTCATGAAAGGAAATGCCTGGTGGGCATTTCTAGTGGCATGTTTTTGACTCGCCTCCAAGCTGAAACTATTTTGTGGTGTTTATATCTGTGTATGAGCGAAAGGCAAAAAAGCAAACAACAATGTGTTACTCATAATTTAAACAAACCATATTTATTTGGTGGTAATACTACTACTAAGCTCTCTTGAGAAATATAAGTACAAACCAGTCCAGCATATGGAACCAAAAATTATGCTATACACTAAGAATAGCATTTGTTGTAGACAGCAAATGCTATTGTGTGACTCACAAGTGCAGCGGTTCAAAGTAGTACAAGCATTGCTTGAGGCAAAGACAAGTGATCTTGTGATTTGTATAATTTGGTTGTGGTTTAAATTTCAAAGAGGGAATCAAAGATGTGGAGATGTTTGTTTCCGTTGGGCTAAAAGATGATTGGCATTACTGCACATGGTTAGTTATTGAGGATTGGTTTGCAACTATTTCCTGTTTACCCTTTAGTTTCTAAGTGGCCAAATTGCCTTCAGCATGAGAGACTGACTAAAACTGAGGTCAGAAACAGGCAACGTGACCGTTGATGCATCAGTTTCTGTGGATTATGAGGGAACGATAAGATTTGGATCATACAGAGATATCCTATTAAAATAGGCTAACATGCTTAGACTGTAGGTCAGGCTCAGATGAATACAAATAGAATTTCTTACACAGGGAGCTCTGAATCTGAGTCATCTGACTGCCTCTCAAAGTAAATGGATGTTAGGATTCATCAGTAGATAACAAGCCTCTCCTTCTGCTATTTTTAAAATGATATGTTTAGCTTGGAGCATCTTCAAAATGTCAAATGTAATCTACTTTATCACTTGATAGGTAACAGTTGAGTCTTCAAGTATCATTTATTGTCATTCTGCAATACTGGGTTGCAACAGAATGCAATTGTATTCTATTTATGCTACACAAGAAAAACAAACATTCAATGCATTTTTTGAACTGCAATCAAAGTGAGTTTAGGGTTAAATTAATCCGAAGCTGACCATGTGTCAAGATCATTAAATATCTGTTAATTTTGAAGGATGCAGAGTAAAGGGATAGACAGTGACACTAATACAAATTGCCTCACAAAGGTGTCTATTAGAAACATTTCCCATATAAAATTGCTTTAATCTTTTAACACAATGTGCGTAAACCTTGTCTGTTTCTTGCCTTTTTAAAAAAATGTTATGAGTTCACAAGTAACTGTTAATGTATTTCGATTTTTGATCAATACTCTAGACGCTGTGTATCTTAAAAAATGATAGATATTGCCGTGTTAGTGGAGTTGGAGTACACATTTTAGTGTGAAGGAAACCGTAATCAATGTCTCTGCGATCCCAGTAACATGAGGCATTTTCTCTGTGTTTTCTAGGTGAGACGGGTCTGGGGAAGTCCACCCTCATGGACACGTTGTTCAACACCAAGTTTGAGGGCGAGCCCACCCAGCACAACCAGCCGGGAGTCACGCTGAAGTCCAACACCTACGAGCTCCAGGAGAGTAACGTGCGCCTCAAACTCACCGTCGTCAACACGGTGGGGTTCGGAGACCAAATCAACAAAGAGGACAGGTAAATGGTACTGGACACATGGCCCCAGTTTGAGGTTTGATCTAAGAACACTGGATTCTTTCTCTTTGTGAGCAGTAACCAAAATCCACACTTGATCGTGCAGACTAAATTCCTCACATACAATGAATCTGTGAGAGCCCTGAACATTTTTGGAGCTCAGGTTTCATTCAGTCCTGATCCTGATTAAATGATACCCAAAACATTTCAAGTCTGGTCCCCATTTCCGTTTCCTCAGCAGTTTTGTTGTACATTTCTACAACACGAATAAGATATTGTTATTTTTTCCGAGTATTTAAACAAGACTGCTGTAGAAATAGGTCTGAAACTATTTCATCAAACATAAAATACTGAACCGAGCTTACAATCCACAACCTAAATGCTATCTCTGCTGCTGAGGTCAGTTCAGGGCGAGATGTTATGTGAGCTCCAACTCTGTAAGCTCTCTGTAATAGGAAGGCTATGGATATTTCCAGGTGTCACAGTTTGTTTAGTATCAAATTGCAAATCATAGAGGAAGTAACTTAGACTTACTGCAGTTTGCACATGCACATTCTCATTGCCATGAGAACTGCCCCTGGCAGAAAGTCCTCTGGTATCTACACAAGCTGTGTGTTTCTCTGTGTTTGTTGGTGTGTGTGTTGGGAGGGGTGAAACTTCCTGGACTCCTTAAAGTTTGGGGTCAAACCTCTTTCTCTGCCATTTTCTATAGCATGTATCCTTTCCTTTGCCCTCTTTTTCAGATAATATTTAAACAAATGTTATTGTATAAGTCTATTTATTGAAAATGAATAAACATTTGTTATATTAATTGTTATACTCTAGAAGAAAACATTGGGTTTTTTGCATCCCTGAGAACAATTTTAAAAACTTGATGTATAGAAGTCCAATTGACGAGCGTTGCCTGAATGCTTAAACATTTAAAAGGCATATATGGGATTTTGGGGGCAGGGTGTCCTTTTCCTTTCAAGTGTGAAATGTTTTGGTATTGTTGAGTAATAGGTAAATGTAGGAGATAATGTAGCAGTGTATCCAAGGAAAATAAGGTATGCTCAAAAACCTCCCTGTTTCTTCTTTTCTGACAGCTACAAGTCTATCGTGGAGTTCATCGATGCCCAGTTTGAAGCGTATCTACAAGAGGAGCTGAAAATCAAGCGCACGCTACACAGCTACCACGACACACGCATCCACGCGTGTCTTTATTTTATAGCACCCACAGGACACTCGCTCAAATCCCTGGACTTGGTGACCATGAAGAAACTTGATAGCAAGGTGAGCCTTGCTTCACTTCCTAAAACGATTATCATTATCAGCAAGAAGACATTTTTATGCATTTAAGTTTCCAGTAGAATTTGCCATCTTTTTCAGAGACCCACTTTCAATGTTAGCGTAAAAGGAAAGGGATAGTTGCACTGCAGCAGCATGATGCTTAGAAATGACTATTGTAATGCTTAAGAAACATAAACAGACCTACTGTAAAATGTCAAAGATATACTGTAGGTAAAGCCTTTGCCACTGCGTTGTTGTTGTTGTGTGGCATTTTATCTATCTACTCTAGTCATGGGTCATGAAGTCTTTCTAGGCCATCTGCCTGCATGCTAATTGGCTCTGGTCTTGTTACTGCAGCGGTGTAGGTCAGCTGTGAAACCACTCAGCTCAGTGACTGCATCCTCGTTTTTTGTGTGTGGGTCTTTCCACAGTAGCTTATTTGCATGGACCTCCTGGCTTCTGTAGAAAGAGACGGCTCAGTGTTTGCCAAAGCAGCTGATCCCTCTGGCGAGTGCTCACAACAGTGTGATCCAGAAAGCATCCTCCCCTGTGTACACATCCACCTAAGGGAGGGGGGAGCTGAAACAATACTCTACTAAAGTGTCCACGACCAAGCTGAATCCTTACTACACTCAGGGGTGCTGTTAAGTTTTACTTGTTTAAATGCCCGTGAGCTGTGTTGTTAGTTAAAGGGGCCCACAGCTGGAGAGCTAATACTGTGGGATTGTGTGGGCGACAGGACTCGTAGAAAACAGTTGGGTGGGAGGGAAAGTCTCATTTTTTCTATCAGCAAGTTGTATGCATTAGAATGACCCATTTCCTGTTTGAATAACATGGATCGCATTCTTGCTGTTGAAATCATTCTATTTAAGTGATATGGAGCAGGAGATGGAAGCCTGCTGCTCCCTTTGCTGCTCTGTTTATAACTCTGTTCTTAAGAATGTGTAATTGTCTGCAATCCACAAAGGCCTGGAGCTAGATAGAGGTACTGTGATGTGTTGAATGGTGAAGAGATGTTCAGTACCCATTCCTTAAGGACATTTGAATTTAAATATGTTTTACAATCCTTGGCAAACTGTGATTGAAAGCACAAAATAAATAGTTATCTTTGTTTTGTATTCCGTTGCTAAACCTGAATGCTGTTCAGTTGAGGCTACTACTTCTAAAAGACCAGCTTTATCTGATTTGCAATGGCTTTGATCTTTTGGCCCTTTTTGTAGAATACATCCACTACTTTCTATATTTGAACTTAATTAATGGCGTTTGCGAAAATTGACAGAAAGACATCTATTTATCGGCTGCCCATCTGAAAGTGTTGTCTGCACCTTGTCATTGTGTCAAAGTACTTATGTATAACGTTAAGTTTAAAGTATAAATAAATATTAAAAAGGGGGTAGGACATGATAAGCATAACATTCTTAGGGGTCCTTTTGAGACTGCCATACTTTATTGTGTTGTTAATTGATAGTTTGATGTATGTGTTTGCTGTGTATTCTTTCCTGTTCAGAAAACAAACCAAATTCTTTCTTATTTCTCAACTTCAGGTCAACATTATCCCAATCGTTGCCAAGTCGGACGCCATCTCCAAGAGCGAGCTGGCCAAGTTTAAAATCAAAATCACCAGCGAGCTGGTGAGCAACGGGGTGCAGATCTACCAGTTCCCCACTGACGACGAGTCTGTGGCAGAGATCAACTCCACCATGAACGTAAGGCTCAAAAATGACATCACATGTTTTACACAGGCTCATCTCATTGAATAAACACAGAAGTACGGAAGATACATTCATAACAATTCCTTAAGAATACATTATCTGATTGACCATAAATATATATCTATCCATTCTGTGCGTTCACACATTTAATTCCAAGACAAACGGGTGTTAAAATACATTTCTCCTTCTTGTCCACGGGGGATTTTTACTTTCACCCTGGGCAATATTTTATTTTGTATAACAAACAGAAACATAAACACTTACACAATAAGACACAAACAATCAGATGATGTGAAACATTTTTGAGATGCTGTTTGACCCAATCTTTATTATTATCTAACAATATTGTGGAGGAAACTTCTGTGTAGCAATGCAGTGGGAGTCACCGACTCATGAAGGAGACACGGGACGAGCAGGAGTTCTGATGTCAAACACTGATATTTAATACAAGCATCGGACGGAGAAATTCACATCACAAGTCACACAGTCAAAGGTTCTGACTGCACGGGTGGTTTGCCATGTCCAATCTCATCAGCCTCGCATCTTGGTAGACCTTTTAACTAGTTTACAGAGAGTCAAATTCACATATTGGGGATGGGCGTAAAACATCTGCAGACACAGGAGATGTCTCTCACATCTGTGGAGCTTAAAAAGCCAGCGTTCTCACACTCGTAAAAACCCCCTATCCCCTGCAGGTCAGGCCATAAGACCTAGTATCAACATACGACTGCATTAACACATTCCTTACGGGAGATTAGAAGCAGGGATGGTCGTAAATGTCAACACACAGAATAAGGTTAAATGTCTAGGAGTAAAGACAAAATTAATCCCTAACAAATATGAAATCTCGCACATTCAAGTCCACCTGACCATGGCTGTGTTAATGGACTGATTTCTGTATCATACTTCTTTTCGCTTTTAACAGTGTTTACTATAGATTCCGTTTCGCTTTACCGGCAAGACCCGCATGTGATGTAGAATCAGGACAGACCTCCTCTGTGTGTGCTCAGGCATTCAGGAAGCCGCCTCATGCTGGGAGGAGTTTGTTCAGAGCGGCACAATCAGCCCGCTCACTCTGCAGGAAGCTGCTGTGTGGGAACGAGCCTCAGTCAGATGAGCCGAGGCTCCCTTAACTGTTTACTGATCTGTGCAAAGGCCTACCCAACTGATTGTGTTAGTATGCTGCCTCTGGGCTGTTGTTGTACGATCTGATCCTGAGCCTGTTCTGATATAGAAGTCATCCGCCCTCCTTTCTGAGCTGCTTCTTGCCATGTGTAAAAATAGGGTCGGGTTATATAATAAATATAACACGTGTTTCTCTCTTTTCCCTTTGTGATATAATGCTGCTTAGAAAAACATGAACGTAAGTTAACATGTAAGAATAAGATGGATTTTAGTTTAATAACGAGTAAGCAGAGATGTAATCAAAGCAGTGTAAATGTGCAGTTTTGTTTGTTCTGTGGGGAGAACTTGAGAGGTCCTGCTCAGCTCTCACGTGTTTCACGGAGTACCAACAATGCTTTTCCGTCTGCTCCACAGAGCCATTTGCCATTTGCCGTGGTGGGGAGCACGGAGGAAGTGAAGATTGGGAACAAGATGGTGAAGGCCCGGCAGTACCCCTGGGGGACCGTGCAGGGTAAGCTGAGGTCACATCCTGCACAGGAAATGAGAGCGCGCTGCCTCTCGTCAGAGCTGCTGCAGTTATATAACCTCATTTAGCAGCTATTAACTCCTGCAGATTAACACACATTATGTCGCTTAAAATGTTTCTTTGATTTGGTATTGTGTGTAATGTATTGCAAATAGATGGAGTGTAGATCTGAAACATCACACTTACTGTATGTGCCCTTAAGCTTTCAAATATCTAGTTGCACATGAGGTTTATTGTCATTTGATTAAGCGTTACTTCTGGGGTTTCACATTCACATCTATAGATCTGTGTTGAAAGTATATCCCTTTCTATACATAACCTCTGAGGGTAAATAGGGCCCTAAAGCTGAAAGTCAACACTTTTACCTCATATTCAGTGTTCCGTTTTACATGCAGCAAAAATCAAGGAAATCTAATACTTACAAACTGCTCTGTATGATATTTCTGTCCAGAGGCTTTATTTGTCATTGGATCTATTTACTGAGTGAATGTGTGCGTGCATAGTGAACTCACATGGTGTCACACGATCTGAGGGGGGTGCGGAGTTCAGTCCAGTGACACAATCAATAGACGAGCCACAGGACAGGAACACTATTCTGTTCTGGAAAATACTCCCAAGTTATAATTCATTAGGGTTATTTGTTTTAAATCTAAATGTTATTTGATGCTAGAAATATAAGGCTCAATTTCCTATGGTAGCTAGCGATTCATCTGCTTAACTTTTTATTATTTAATTGTTTGGTCTATAAAATGTCTGGAAATAATTTTGCAAGTCCAAGGGGGAAGTCTTTACATTTCTATTTTGTAAGTCCAAAACCCACAGTGATTCTGTTTAATATGAATTAAAACAGAGAAGAGCAGTTTTTTGTGAGGCTAAAACTGCATTTTCTGAAATGTTTACATTCATTTCTATAGATCAGGGGTGTCAAACTCAATTTCATCCCGGGCCACATTAGCATTATGGTTGCACTCAATGGGCCGGTTGTAACTTTAAGACGATATAAATATATAAAATAATGTTTTATATAACATTATTGCCTCTGCATTGGATTCTTATCGGATAGGGTAATAACTTCATAATTAACTACGTCTGAATGCAGAAGTCTAGGGCAAATAATTACAAGTCTCTTCAGTGCGCATGTCACAAAATGAGATGCATTGTGGGACATGTTGTTTATTGGCAACCTGCTTCTGTAAAACGGCATGTAACCGTATAATAAACATATTATATTCTTTGCAAGCTCTTGCGGGGCCACATAAAATGAAGTCGCGGGCCGGATTTGGCCCCCGGGCCTTGAGTTTGACACCCCTGCTATAGATTGACTTATCAAAAGCCAGCCTATCACTGCAGCTCTAGTAGTATCTGTTTGTACCTCTCACTCTAATGCATAATACATAATGAATAGGATACCATGTTGAGTGAAGCACTTGTTTGTCACTCACTATGATGTGTGTCTTTCACAGTGGAAAATGAGAATCACTGTGACTTCGTCAAGCTGCGGGAAATGCTGATCAGAGTGAACATGGAGGACCTGCGAGAGCAGACTCACACCCGCCACTATGAGCTGTACCGCCGCTGCAAACTGGAGGAGATGGGCTTCAAGGACACGGACCCTGACAGCAAGCCCTTCAGGTACAACTGGAGAGGAGACCGCTCCCAAACAGCTGGACCGTTTTTTTAATTTTGCATTTTTCTGCATCCATATATCATTGAAACTTTTTTACCTTTGCAAGATTGTATCAGTCTGTGTCTTGTTGTCTTTGTCTGTTTATGAATTGTTGTACTCCCTTTTTCCTTTGTCAGTCTGCAGGAGACGTATGAAGCGAAGAGGAACGAGTTCATGGGGGAACTGCAGAAAAAGGAGGAAGAAATGAGACAGATGTTTGTCCAAAGAGTGAAAGAGAAGGAGGCTGAGCTCAAAGAAGCCGAGAAAGAGGTGCGTCCTTTCATCATCCTGTTCATCACTTGTTAAGGGAAGTTTCTGCCTTTGCATTCAATAACCTAAAGCATTGTTTGTCTCACGATAGCTGCACGAGAAGTTTGACCGTCTGAAGAAGCTCCACCAGGACGAGAAGAAGAAAGTGGAGGACAAGAGGAAGTCCCTGGACGACGAGCTCAACATGTTCAAACAGAAAAAGACTGCCGCAGAGCTCTTGCAGAACCAGGCCCAACAGGCAGGGGGCTCCACCACACTCAAGAGGGACAAAGAGAGGAAAAAGTAAGTATTGTTCTCTTCTTCCTGTGCCTTCCTCACATCTCTCCGTACATGTTAGGGGCTTCAGACCACCTCCAGCGGTTTCAGGATTGAAACGTCTGGATGCTATGGAGCTGTGACGAACAATACCACATGTTATTACATTGACCTTTCATAATGTTGATCATTTGCCAAAACAAGTACATAAATATAGCTGCCACTATGTGCGAAGTTGTTTGTTGTAAAGCCTTTGGGGTCTTTATGACGGAAATGTGTAGCTTGATTCTGACAGAAATGCAAACTCATTCATTCGACTTTATGCAGACAGAACTTAATTTCCGTCTGTTCCTCTAATATCACTAAGCGCTTAGTGGTTTCTTTGTCAGCACTCGTTAATAATACGCCTTATATTTGCATAATTTAATGCTTTAAAGTAGTTAAAGGCTCAGGTTAAGCTCAAGGCTTCTCACTCTGCTCTGTATTTCTGAGAGGCAGGGGAGTGCTCCAGTTTGCCCTCTATATAATAACAGAGAATATGTTAAGCATTGAATTCCTCGCTAAGAGAGCTGACCAGAATTCATCATTTATCACCAATGTGGAAAATGACGAGGAGCAGAGAAGGGGAGAGACTGGTGGAAATGACTCCCTATCCTCATCGAAATAGTTGAACAATTGCCAACAGTCAGAAATCATCATGAAATGAAACCCCCCTGAACAGATCTGTGTAAATGACTTTATAGCATCTCTGTCAACAATTACTTGACAGTTCCATTAGCTTGAAAGGGTCAGATCAAAGTTCATAATTGTTTAAGTGGAAACTATTTGACAGTGGCCACTGGTTTCAATGAATCTAGAGTATTCACTTTCAATGTTGTTTCCCTGACATTAACTTTGTTCCTTCCAACACTATATCAATAGTTTCATTATGCCATGAGAGTACGAGACTGTTTGTCGCAACATGTTTGTCAGTGTTGGAAGCCAGAAGTGTTTTTGTGTGGTTGAGGTCTATGTGTGTGGGTCCCTTCCTGTTGGTAATCAACTGCTGGTTTTGTGTTGAAGCTGATGTGACGACGTGCCTGTTAAAAAAGGAAGAAGACACTTGCACTGAGAAGATTCTTGTTGCTTTATTTTTCTTCCCTGTTGTTAATTTTTTTTCTTCACAGCCACTTCTTTTCTTTATGAGCTCTGCCTGGATACATGTTCTCTTCCTTAAGGGGCCGCTGTGCCACTTTGTCTGTGGTACACTGGTTAAAACTGACTTTCACTTCAAGTGTTAACACAGATAATGTTTGTTTATCTGTCAGCGTTTTCTTCAGTTCCCAGTTGACACAGATATTGATGAGTGCTTGTAAATCTGTCCTGTGAGTGCATGTGTCACCTATGTTGCATCCATAATGTTTTCCAGTTAACTCCTCCTACTTGCTGCATGCTGCATGGGGCATCTTTTCTGGTAAGACACCACCTACGAAATATAACTAAAAAAGATATTAAACTTTAATTTGTGACAAGTACATGAATAAAGATATAATGTCAAATATTCTTATAAACTCATAAAAGGCATTTATGTAGAAATAAAGACTTAATTACTATAACATTTGATAAATCAAGTCTTTTTGATTCTATTTTTCTGACATTGTCCCTAACAGTTTTTTTCTTAAATGTTATTGTAAAGTTGGTCTTACATTTCATTTAAAGTAGCATAACAAAGTATTTAATTTGACTTGCCTTAGACATCAGGAATCCTGTAAAAGGTCCTCAAACTGGGAAGGTTTCTACACTAACAAGTGTCTGAGGAGTTAATCTATTCTGCAGATACTCTCAATTTTTTCCCTTCATTGACTGACTTCCTGCACCTGGCCTACATTTAGAACAGGCTATATTTAAGCATTTAATTACAATCAAATGAACTTTTTTCCAAACTTTCCAAACTATTATCTAAATGAAATGCATTTAATGTAATACTTGAAGTTATCTAAATGTGCTACAATATGATAAATGGGCACAGTTATTCAGGTATGTGAGAGTTACAGGCCTAAAGTATATCCTTGCTAACATCTGTGTCGATCATATCCTTGAGCTGGCAGTGTTTACCGTCCTTGTGCTGCCTCCTAAATAATCGGGTTTATTAGATCCCCACACACCCATTTGATATACTGCCCCATCTGCCTCTCAAAACCCATAACAGTGTCTTTTTGTGGCTCTCCAATGGCCTTTCCCACTCGCACAGCGATCACACAAAGAGCCATTGAATGCTGAAGTGAGGTCACAGCAGAGCAGCAAACACCCTCAGGGCCCATCGCTGCTTGTGGAGATGACATGTTTTGTTGATCTCGCAGCCATATGACGACCCTCCTCCTTGAGTGGATACATAAGCCAAATCCACAGAGGGGAGATGTTGTTGAGACTCAACCGCTGGGGAGGGTCGAACAGAACAAAGACATCTGTCTTGCAATCTGTAAACTCCTCAAGCTGCTCATGACTGTTCAAATAGATGCAAACAAGCTGCTGTTTGATGAGGAAGACAATCAGACCCATTGTTTAAAGCTCAGGCGGGACAAAACCTCTTCAAAAACCAAAATGATTCAAAGAAATAGATGACTGTACTGCCACCCTAACTTCTAAACTTGTTTTGAGCTGCCTTGAAAGCACGATCTGCTCTAATCTGGTCACTAAAGTTGATGTGATGTCACCCATGTGAAACAGTGTTGATGATTCAACTCAAAGGAAGCATTAACAGCCCTTCTCTCTCATTTGCAGCTTAGGATTCCTGTAGAAAAAGTGCTCCCTTGTGGCCGTCCTGCTGTGAATGAGTTTCCACCCCATCATCTTTTTTACAGAGTCCCAACCTTCCCCCCGCCTCACCCTCACCCAACCTCCATAATTCAACCCTCCACATGCACCCCCCCCCCCCCCCCCCTGCTCTCTGGAAGACGCTGGGCATTGCTATCAGTTTGACATCACTCCGTGTTTATTTTTGCTGAATGGTGCTTGTGTGGTATGTTGTTTATACAAGCAGTTATTTAGCTTGTCTTTTTATAAACATTTACAAAATAATGCATTCCATGTTTGTTTTGTATTAAAAGATTAATTGCATGATGGAGTGAGCTTTTAAAAACATATTAACATACATGACTACCTTTGTGATGGGCAGAAATGTGTTGAGGGTCAAGTGAAACAGAGAGTACAGTGGTCAAAGATCTGATTGGAGGATGGATTAGGTTAATGTTGATCCATCTTTAGATAAAAGGACAATCATCTAAGTGACTTCTTGTCTTGACCTGGCAAACAACAATTGCCAAAATACTTTAAATCATTTAGTCATTGGCTTCAGATCCAGCTCAGGGTGGACAACAACAAAAAAGTTCACTGGAACATTTTGGGTGATATTTATTTCCCCCCCAGTGTTTACATTTTGAGGCATATACACACATAATTGCATAATAAACACACATTTTTGGGGTGTTTTGTTGCGGCATATACCATACATTTGGTGGTTATTTTTGACAGATTATTTGTTATTCATTTCAAGTTATAAGATCCTTAAGATTGTAGTCCTGATTGATTGAATGCATAACAAGTTCTAAAAAAGGGATTTGATTTCATGACAATAATGAGGAATATAACTTTAAAGGTTACTTATAATTCCCTCAGTAATATAGACTTAAATTAGTAAGAATTAAAGAATTGGTTTTATTATTTTTGTCCCTGTGCTGAAGCTGTTTCACTCTACCCAGATGCATGAGTAGTTAGTGAGCCTAATCTCTTTGCCACTTCTCCCATACCTCATTTATTGTCATGTGTTACGTGCATACATGTATTAGCTTTCATATTTGCACTTTTTTATACCCAAATTTGATGTTTTTTTTAAAGTATATATATATATTAATGTTGTCAGTGCAATTGTAACTTTCTTTTTTACTTTACTTACTATTGAAGGCACATTTGAAAGTCGATCTTCATGATGTCCACATTGTCCTGCAGGGACCACTGTTGTTTGTATCAGTGTTACACACAAAACAAATATTATCTTTAAAGAAATAAAGGCCCATTTTTCACCAAATATAACAACTGTGGCCATAATCATTGTGTATGACAAATATTGCTGTAACGTAGGAGACCAAATGGGGAAAGTGGGAATGCTTGATTTACATAATGAGGCTTTTCAGTTGGTGTTTGTATATCGGAGACATTAATACTCTCTAAATCGAGACAGGAAATTCATTGATCTGATCAGTTATTGCTTGTTTTTCACCACTTCAAGGTTGCTATTATTGTCTCTTGAAAGAGAACACAGTCTTGGATTCAAGACATTCCTGCACCCTGTCCACATGATTCCAGGGTCAAAATACATCGAGAGAAAGAGCCTCTCCTCCTAATCCTCGGCTCACTGGTGTGTGTGGTTTCACTTTCCTTCGCAGTAATCCCTGGCTCTGCACTGAGTAGCTCCTCAGCCCTCAAGCTTTGCTGAGGGAGCAGCCTTTGTGGGTACTGAGTACCTCAAATGTGACCAGCGGCTTTGTGGACCCCGGGCTTCAGGGTTTCTTAATCATTACCTGCTCTGCTATCATATGAATTCATGTGTGTTTCGCTGCAGCTCTAACCTCACCCCCAGCAATCTAATTCTTGCTTCTTTTGCCTTTTTGCTTTTGTTTATATGTGCACTGTTTGTGTTTGGATGTGACTAACACTTTTTCCACTTGATTTGGTGCACTTGTTTATTTATTGACATATTTGGATAATTATTAACACTTTTTCTCATTCAAATGTACCACAGAGGAAAAGACAATCACTAGTGGGCACAATATAATCACAATAATAACTCGGGATGTTATGCTTAATATTTTTGTTTTAACAACTATTATCCCAGGGATTTTTACCACCTAATTTTGTATTGTGATAATCAAACATTTTCTACCTGATATTAGATGAACTTCTAAATCTAAAACCTGACCCATGATTTTTGTTTTTCTGCTTTTCCACCTCTCTAACTGCTGGCTTTCTCTCTCTTTGTCTCTTTAGCTTCTTTTAATCTCTGTTGACCACCTGAAGAGGGGATTGCAGCTTCGGCAAGAACTAAGCACCCTTTACCTCTTCCAGTTTTTTCCTCGCTGTATCAACCCTTTTTTATTCTCCCCATCGCATCTCTTTTTGTTGAATATGGCCTTATGTGGACTGGCATGGTATTTCTGACCACCTAGTGAAGCTCTATGAAACCCACGCTGGTTGGGAACCGGGCACAGTTTCAATCTTTAATGTCTTAATGTATATAAACAGACTCTTCTAGTAAATAAAAGCTGGGGTTCACACATTTGCAGGACTCATAGGTGAAATCATTATTTGATCTTGCACTATGCATTCGTCTTTTCAATAGGATTATAAGTACTATATTATAGGCGCTTTCACACCGCAGTACTTTTCACACAAAGGTTCATCAGAATTTAGTTCATAACTCTTTAGTTCTCATCATGAACTAAGTACAGATCGCGTTGGAATCATGGATTAGGCAAATGAAGCCGCTGACGTCACTTCTTCTTCTGCTTTGGGTTTACTGGCAGGCCGCAAACAACTTCACGGCGTATACTGCCACCCGAAGTCCCCGGAGTTAGGGACTGGCTTCAGTCCCAGCAGCTTCTACTGAAGCCTTCCGAGTAAATCGCCAGAACGCCGACACCTCCTCATCTCCACCGCTTCCATGTTTTCTTTTGTGTTGCCATAAATTAGTCTCTCTGCGTGTGTGCGCTGGGCTAATGCTAATAATGCTAATGCGAGGATAATAAAATGGCGGCTTCACAAAACTTTTTGGGAGTTTTACGGGGCGTGGTTTGCAATCCGCCCAGCCAATCAGAAATAGGAACCCTTTTCTCCCACGAAAGTCCCTGCTCTCTAGCAGGGACGGAAAAGGGGGTAAAAAGGTTCTCATGAAGTAATTTTAGTTCCGGATTGTTTTGGTGTGAACGCAACATTTCGGAACTAAAGTGGGAAAAGTACTAAGGTGTGAACGCGCCTCATGTGCACATTAAAAGGAGAGTTTGGATGTTTTTTAGTTGGGTTTCATGAAGTACTTCTCCTAACTCGGTGTATATTACCTACAGTACATTCTTTCACACACACATACGGGTTTTGGGCCAAGGGCGACACCGTACTTCCGGTATCCGCCATTTCACGCGAGGTGCAACCAGAATATCATAGTCTATTGCCTTAATCAATATAGTCAACTCTAAAATACCACATATATGCATTGGCATGATAATATTATTGTGACAAGTGGGGTATTCACCTGGTGTTTCCAGAAGATAGACGTAGATGCTGCCAAAATCGACCGAAGGCCACTTTCGAGAGTCGTTTTTCCATACATCTGCAGGCAGTCTGTAAGGGCAATCGGACAACCCACACAGCTCTAGTTTACGCTGGTAACGACCTAGAGCACACCCCTCAAGTCCAGAGATGTAATCCGAAGACATGCAGCGATTTCTTCGGTCGTTAATTCCGAAAAAAAACCTAGTGCGCTCTGCCTGAGTACGTTAGCTAGCTGTTTATATTAGCACCTCCAGGATATTAGCACCTCCAGGAAAATGGCGTATTTATATATATATATATATATGGCGCGCGTTGCATTGTAGGTAGCTCGTGACGTCACTGTGTGTGAAAGAATACACGTCTCCAGTTTGGAGAAACACAGTTAAATTGAAAATAAACCTAAGCAATGTACTGCTGTGGACAGGGGCACTATTTTAGCCACCAATTTACATCGATTTTACTTGTAGTCAGACAGCCATTGCTGACTGGGAACTGATGTTGTTTAATACATGCACTCTTCACCAGACTCCATTGACATGGGTGTCGATGGTCTATCGCTGCCTCAACCAGTTAGTATGTTGATGTGTGAATTTGTTAAGTATGGATCTAAAGAATGATCAAACATATTCTAAATATAGCGACACATAAGGTGGCAAAAAAGTGTTTTGCTGTTGCCAGGTCCAGAGCTATACATGCTTTGCTTCAGTGTTCGAACTGTCTGTTTCTCAAATGTAGGGGTGTGCCGACCAACATCTGTAGGTAATAAACTGACTGTATAAGTGCCTCAAGCCTACTTTAAACATTTCTAACTATTCCTTATAAGGGATTAGATGAAACATCAGAGCTTATTTTAAAACGAAACTCATCAAGGACAGAAGCACTTAATGCACTATGTGTAATGTGTTATGGATATAATGAGTTATCACCTTGTTTTTCTTAAATCTATTCAGTTAAAAATGTATATCTCCTGCTCTCTGATTTTATGAACATTACAATTAAATTAAGAGTCATACTCGTGAAAAATCCAAAGCAATATTTCTACTTAGCACTTCATTTGATGGTGCCCATGTTTACATGTCGCTGTTAAATACCATGGAGGTCACATGTAATGGCCTTTTGTTACACATTGTGCTTTAATATTCACAAGCCTGTTCTATTGTTTTTGTTTTTTTGCATGCATGCATCTTTTTATTTCATTACTGCTGTGATCTTTGACTTGCTTGTTTTTATCCCCTAATAATTCAATTTTGCAGTCTATTTCAACTACATTGCTGTTTTTCTTCAAATGGTGCATTTTATTAATGTATATTTGCTCTGTCCTATGTTTTCAACTCCCTTTGCCAAATCTTAGTATACGATGGAGTTGAACTGAAACCCAGATGGGAGTATTTAAAGGATACTCATGCATTTGTATAATTTATAAGGATATATTTTGTGTATTGAAGTGGAGACTTGTTGTTTATTACCTATGACCTTTGGACGTGACTCTGAGTGTAAAGTAACATTTTGGTGTCAAAAAATGCCATACATTTTTCTAGTATCAGTCATCACCTCTTGTAGTCAAAAACTCTCCCACACTACAAATAATTAAATATCTTACTTTAGTTTGATTCCATTGATGTACATTTTCAATAAAAAAATATGATCCAGAACTATAACGCTCCCTTGTCTTTTATTTACAATGTTTGCAGCTCATGGTCGAACTAAATAATAACAATTAGCACTAGTTTTTCTGTGCTGGAAGCTGAAATGACCTGTAATCGCCAAATATTATATACGAACAGTATTTATTTTATTGTAATTAAACTTGATCTAATCATGGGCTTCCCAAATACATTGATTCCTTTTGTCTTAGTGTGTGTATGTGTAATACTTAGGCAATATGATTTTGAAAACCAGACTTTACTTTTACACTAGACTATTTTTTATTAACTAACTCGGAGAGCATTAAATGCAGAAGTTAAGAATGTTTTGAAGAATTAAGCAGTAGGTAAAGTGACCACACGGACTTCACCTTGTGTAAATAAAGCATCTTAATAGACGATTAAGTGTTATAAAATACTTCTTATGGCTACTTTTGTGCCTTCATTTTTAGTGAAACTGCAAAGATTTACTTTCAGTCTCTCAACTGATGGATAGCATAGCACATTGCTGCTGAAGATGTGTATTGTAAACGTCAGTTAGGATTTTTACATATGTCATATGAGACCGGGGCCGTTTCTCAATCCCCACAATCAGGGGCGGACTGAGACTAAAATTCAGCCCTGGAAACTGACCCAGTCCGGCCACATGAAATGTCAAATGTTAGAAATCCGCTGTCAATTTGCGACATTTATATGCTTCACCTGCGAGCAGTGGCGAGCCGTCAGGGCCCTCTAGGCCTGTAGCCCTCTGTGAGGGCCTAAGATATTCTAAAAAATAATATTTGAAAACATAAAAAAAAAACATTTTTTTTAAATATTATTTTTCATATCTTTTTTGTTGTTACATTTTTCATTAGTTTTACCAAAATAACTTGATTTAATTGTATTTAAAATAACATTTCCAAAGAAATAAATCCTTCGAATCTGCCTGTTCAGTTTCTGTTGGAATGTGAAGGGTTAAATGCCGTCTGCGAGTTATGTGAAGACGGGAGAGCTTGTTGGTCCCTCTCTACATTCACAGAGGGCCCGCTATAGTAACTCAATGAGAGAGTAATGTCAAATGACAGTACAATTGACCATCATATCTTCCCTCTAAATGGGCGGGCACTATTTTTGCGGACTTTATGACAAGTTCCGCCCGCTGTGAGGTCTATGCAAGTGGTGCAGTGACGCGTCCTAAAACCCGGAAGTAAGCTGCGCTCGGATTCCCTCGACAGAAACCAATGTGATTTCTCCATAGGATTTTGGAAAATAGCTCGAAATAAGGTCTGTGGAAAACGAACCTGTTAGATAAATGCCCGTTTTGTTCAGCCGGATAATATCCACATGTCTACCCTACTTTTATTATTTTCGAATCATACATCTAAACGATAGATTTATGATCGATAGATTTATAATTAGCATAAGTTCGTTCATGATGGCTCACTTCAGTGATGACATCGTTGCGAAATTATTAACCGAGTCATTTTCAAGATTGAGTTACAATGATAAACTGGAGTGGCAAAGGATCAGCTGCATGATCCGCAAGTGCTTCATCCAAAAGGACAGGAGGATGGACTTTGTGTTTAAGTGATTTGATCATCAAAGGTAGGCCTAAGTCATTTTCAATGTGGGCCGCCGTGCCGACTTAATTCATTTGTAATTGTTACTTGGCTGTGGGTGCCCTGTCATGATAAGTGTTTATATAAATGGTGTGGTAGAGGGTCGCTGTCATTGATGCGTTTTGCACCCCGGACCGCTGTTTTTATATTCCGCTGAAGTAGCCTATACGCTGTGACGTAATATCTCTTCTTTTTTTTCCGAGGGAAGGGGGGTCAGAGGGCCTAGGTATAAAAGTCACGGCTCGCCACTGCCTGCGAGTGACTTCACCTTTTTTTCTCTTGCCTTCTCTGCCCCACTTTTTTCTTTTCGTTTTCTTTGATTTTTATCCATGTTTTTTCATTCTCCCTGTCTGCCGCGGCGTCTAATCCCTTCTCTTCGTGTGGTCGGTCTCTTTTCTTCTTCGTGTGTGATTATTTGACAGATAAGAACCACACAACTGCATTAGCAGCCGCTGTCGCCCTCTGTCGGCCGTCAGCGCAACTTAAATGATGCCGTTAAACTATTTTTTTTATTTTTTTTTTAAAAGGGCCGACCGGCCGTCAACGGCCCTTGACGACCGGCCGTTCTGTGGTTCTCCAGATTCTACAGATGGCCAGTCCGCCCCTGCCCACAATGCTTTGCGCACGGACCAATTTCAAAAACCCTTGCGGAGAATAGCTGAACTGACGCAGCACACATTTAATTTAAATGTAAGTATGTAGTGGCGTAGAAAATGTGTAGTGTTGGTAAATGTGTTACTTTGTTAAATTTGTTACCACCATAAATGTGTTCCGTGAAAGTAAAGCAAGTTCATAATTAGATAGACATCGTGAGGTATTTATTTTCGGTAGTTTGTTGAAACCGTTAGAGAGAGTGGCACACTTGTTAGCCTGTTCCATTCTTCTTCGTTTTCTGAAGCCGTGGCATGGAAGCATACTTGCTTCGTTTCTGAAGGAAGTGACTTGGAAGTATACGTGACTACCAAACCAGCATTCTCGCGATTGAGAAACGACCCATGTATTGCTTGCTTTATCTGGGTTATCTTCAAATATAATCCATAAGGGTTAGGGTTTGTATTTGAGGTTTTAATAAAATAAGATTAAGTTTAATAATTATATACTATTCTATTAATTACCAAAGACTGTGGCCGTTTCTCAATCGCGAGGATGCTGGCTTGGTAGTCGCGTACTTCCAAGTCACTTCCTTCAGAAACGAAGCAAGTATACTTTATGGGCATAGATATGTCTCATAATTATTTGTGTGAACATAACAATTATTTGTGTGTAAATATGTGATTAGGAAATGTAAAACACTATCCACAAATGCATTTAAAAGATTTGCAAACTCACAAATAAATGTGCAAGTGTAAAACGGATCTGCAAATACGCTAAATATTTTCACAAATAAAAAAAAGATCTGTGAATATCTCTTTAACATTTACAACTTTCGATCAGGCATTTGTGAATCCATTTTGTATTTGCCGACCAAAAATGCGCTTGCGGATCTCAAATCTCTGCTCGTGGATCTCACATTTCTGCTTGTGGATCGTCTTTTTACACACACGGAATTTTGAGACATATTTTCCGCCGGTCTCGGCTAAAATCTACTCATGTCACTTGGTAATTTTCGGAAACCACGTGATGGCCCGCTGATGACGACATTTCCGCATGATTTCAAAGTAAGAGCATGATGGTTTGTTTAATGCTCTGTTTTTTTTAATAATGAACAGCGGAACGTTAGATGCATTCTTTATCACCATCATCATCATGTTATAGTGATAGTTAGTTTGTGTTAGTTTATTGGTTCAATACAGCATATATCGAGCACCTTCGTTGATGTTGAAGTACAGGCTATACGCCACTTTCGGGTCCCGGGGGGAGCAGCTGGCAGCGAAGCAGCCCAGATAAAACTATTCATTGTTTGTTGTGTATTCAGTCAAGCGGGTCAAAGTTACAATGTAAAATTGTAAGTACAATGTAAAGTCCTGTACTCCTGTGCCGGTAAAGAGCAATACAATGACAAAACCTTTCCAAACAAAACAACTAGTAGGTAGGTAGGCAGGCAGGTATAGGTAGGTAGGTAGGCAGACAGACAGATAGATAGACAGACAGGTAGATAGATGGATAGGTAGGTAGATAGACAGATAGATAGATAGACAGACAGACAGATAGATGGACGGACAGATAGATAGATGGATATCATATATAGATACTTCATTCATCCCAAATTGTGAAATGTGTGGAAACAAGTATAAACACAATAACATTAAATACAAATGAAAGCAATAGACAGGAATATATGCATATAGTAGAAAGGACACGATGAATATTATAACATTTAATGTAGCCTTACTATGAAGGCTGACCTAAATACAGTGCTTTTCTACAGATTACTTTATTACTGCACTGGTAAAGTAAAATTAGGCCGATTAATAAGATGTGAAGTGCTTTGTAACTTTGACCCGCTTGACTGAATACACAACAAACAATGAAGATAGAGTTTTATCTGGGCTCCTTTGCTGCCAGCTGCTCCCCCGGGACCCGAAAGTGGCGTATAGCCTGTACTTCAACATCAATGCATGTGCTCGATATATGCTATATTGATCCAATAAACTAACACAAACTAACTGCATCACTATAACATGATGATGATGATGGTGATAAAGAATGCAGTTCATTATAATAAAAAAACAGAGCATTAAACAAACCATCATGCTCTTACTTTGAAATCATGCGGAAATGTCGTCATCAGCGGGCCAGCAAGTGGATTCCGAAAATCACCGAGTGACACGAGTAGATTTGAGCCGAGACCGGCGGAAAATATGTCTCAAAATTCCGTGTGTGTAAAAAGACGATCCACGAGCAGAGATTTGAGATCCGCAAGCGCATTTTTGGTCGGCAAATACAAAATGGATTCACAAATGCCTGATCGAAAGTTGTCAATGTTAAAGAGATATTCACAGATCTTTTTTTTATTTGTGAAAATATTTAGCGTATTTGCAGATCCGTTTTACACTTGCATATTTATTTGTGAGTTTGCAAATCTTTTAAATGCATTTCTGGATGGTGTTTTACATTTCCAAGTCACATATTTACACACAAATAATTTGTATGTTCACACAAATAATTATGAGACATATCTATGCCCATAATACTTCCAAGAATGGAACAGGCTAACAAGTGTGCCACTCTCTAACGGTTTCAACATAAACTGTACCAAAAATAAATACCTCACGATGTCTATCTAATTATGAACTTGCTTTACTTTCACGGAACACATTTTTCGTGATAACAAACAAATGTAACAAAGTAACATATTTACCAACACATGTTCTACGCCACTACATACTTACATTTAAATGTGTGCTGCGTCGGTTCAGCCAGAGCTCTGGGTTCAGCCATTCTCCGCAAGGGTTTTTGAAATTGGTCCGTGCGCAAAGCATTGTGGGGATTTTAAGGACGCGAAGTCTACCCATGTGCAGCCTCGAAATTTCCCCCAAACCAAGGACGCGGCCTCGGTGGAATTCCAAGTATACTGGAGATTGGAACAGTCCTTCGGCGGCACTCGATGACGTAGCATCCTTGAAATATTGGCTTGGAAGCCAAAATCCTCGCGATTGAGAAACGGCCTGTATCTCGAAGGTTACCGACGTGCAGTGAGCAGGCAGTGAGTGACAGCAGTCCGGCCGCAAAGCATTCTGGGTAATTTCGTCGTAACAGACGCCATGATTTTCTACTGTAGCTGGAGAAGAAAATGGAGGCTTTCTGCTAGTTAGCGCAAGTTGAATGGGTATCTGTATCTCTTAGCAGGGTTCAGGGCAGCGTTTCAAACCACCCCTTTCGGATATAGCACTTGAAAGATACAAGGTTACATGACGAGCGGAACGGGCTGAACCTGATATAAAACTAGTTATATGAGCTGCAGTGGTGCTAGGTAGCAGCTACCCGCGGGTTGCCAACGTTATCTAGCTAGCTGGAAAAAGCTAGCACGATAATAATAACCGGCTGATCATAAAAATACATTCGCTGTCACATACTCAGCGTGAAGACAGAGATATCAATTGGACCAAAGGCTACACCTTGAGGTATGGATATGACACAGCTTACTAGTTGCACATATATACATGTTGATACCGGTTGATACATTGATCTTTAAACGTATTTGCTTGTAAAAGGTGGACTGTCGGCCTACTGCGTCACTCTTTCTGTGCCTTGTTTTGCTATGAAATTCAGCCATTATACACCTCTCCTTTAACATCTTATGCTATGTTTTTAGTTGTGCAATATAAACTTTAGTCTAGGCACATATTTTATGTTTCAGTCACCTGATGCTGCTCGCGTTAGGTCAGACAGATTGTAGCTCTGTATGCCATGTTGGGTTCGTTTATGCCATTCATTCATAACATGTCTCACTCGGCCTCAATAACAGGTATGGCCTGGATCTGATTTGGATGGTGCTGGTGATGGCAGAGGGCACCTACACTGGCGAAATGCCCTCCTTTGACCCAAGTCCTAGTTCTGAAGCAAAAAAGAGACCTACTTCTTCTGATGGCAGTGAGTGTACATTTTGGTTGTGTAGTCTCAAAAGTTGTTGTTTTCAAAAGTTTCCATTGCCATGATGTTATCTATTTATTTTTTATTTTCAGTCTTTATTTCGAACAGATTAAAAAATAAAAAATGTGAAAAACAGAATACCGTATTGTTATAATACAGTATTTATCCACATTCATGGTAATATTTGTATACTATCTTCTATGTGTTTCTCTGTTACAGCTTTATATCAAAACATGCCATTCTATATATTTTATACTTTATATTTAAAGTGCAAAATTACACTTTTATCACCTCATAGTTAATAATTTTAAACAATGAGGCAATAGCTAAAGTTATGTTTTATAAATGTCTTTCATATGCGTATTATTTTTGCACTGTGAATGTTTTTGATATTCAACTTTGTTATATCACACTTTTTAGATTACAATAGTAGACTACATTATTCTACAATTTTTTTCCTATAATAAAACTAAATATAAAAACGGTATATCCTGACATTTAAAACATGTACCTCTACATCCTCTGTTTTGTCGAGGTGGTTGATGAGACATCTCTAAGCATTTCTATCAATCTGCTGTGCCTACTTTAGACATATCACAACAAACATTTAAATGAAATGAATTGAATCCCACATACTAACTAGTTTAATGGGACTTTCACATATCAAATCAACCATTTTGTGTTTATCTTGATGATCATTTATGAGTTCAAGCAGGGCCAATCTATTCAGTTACATTTTTTACCGATGTACATCTAAATATTTTTAGATGTGTATTGGCACTACAAAAGTTGCATTTGTCCACCCCTACATTCCACTCAAGTAAGACATCCTTAATCTAAAAATGTACCCGTGTGATGTTATTGCAGGAGACGAGCCCATGAGGAAAATGCCTGTGACAAAATTTGGTTCCCGACCTCGATTTGAGCCTGTACAGTTTGTCAGTGGTGGAAGCAGCGGAGGCAATGGCGCTGATGAGAAGGAGAATGATAAGGATCGCAGGAGGAGTGAGTCACACGGTTCCAGATCGTGGGACTCTGAACACTCATCATACAGCGGCAGAGCTCAGGGCTCATCCTCCCTGAGGCCTGCTTTTGACCGAGTGCCACCACACAGTTCTGACTCTTGGGGTTCCCAAAGAGATAAAGACAGAGAGATTTGTTCAGGTAGCACGAGCGAGTTGGGGTATGGAGGACATGGGTCCACTTCAAACTTCATGGCAAAAACACAGAATGAGTACTCAGCCAAGTACGAAGCCCACTCTTCTCAAACTGCAGATGCCTATTCTCAGCCCCACAGATACAATGGATACGGGGGAGGAAGCAGATCAGCAGGCTGGGATTCGGGACGTCAGGGTTTGGGCTTCAGTCATCAGGACCGGCCGTCATCAAGCAGGCCATTCAGCCGAGTGTACAACAGCCCGGGCAGGAGCAGTCCTACCACTTCTCATTCGGGCTCTTCGTCGCAGCCTATTTCTATTTCAATATCTCAATCTTGTCTAGATGAAAAGCAAAGGCTGGTTTCCAATGTAGCGTTTGCATTGGCTGTTGCTTTGAAGGATCCTTTGGTTATGACTGGAACTGAGTCGCCAAACTATAATTTCATGTTGAGCCGCAGTATTCAGGCCTGCAAGACTAATCCTGAGTATATTTATGTCAACCTGAAGGACATTCCTCAGGCAGACCTACCGAAGAACAGGAAAGTACCAACAGACGGTTACGCCTGTGAACTGAGATGTCAGGGTGTGTATCTTGCTACCGGATACTCTGGAAGTAAAAATGGAGCAAGGGACCGGGCCTCTGAGGCGGCTGTAAAACTCTTCCTGAAAACAGTTGAGGTTCGTGTGGTGCAGCGCAAATACAGGCACTCAGTAGTCAGTGACATAGTTGTGTGCCAGATGCACGCTCCAACCCCAGGGTTTTTACCTGCACTTCGAAACCCAGAGGTTAAACCGACCCCGAGCTCCAAGGGCCAATACGAGCCTGACAAGCGGAAGCACTGGTCAGAGTTTGTGGTTATTGACAATGCTCACGACGCCATCTGCATACTCAACAATTCTGCAGCTTTTAATCGCATGAAGGTAGACTATCAGTTTGACATGCTCCCTAACAACATTGCTTGGCAGTGCAGTGTTTTCCTGCAGGGGGAGTTGGTGGCGCAGGCTACAGGTACCAAAAAGAGCTCAAAGCATTCAGCAGCTGAAGACGCAGTGAGGAAACTTCGCATGAACCAGGCACAGAGAGAGCAGCAACAACAGCAACAACCACCCCAATTCTCCAGAGGAAATAATCAATCAGATTGTGGTGGGCGCTTTGGGACACAGGTTGGCAAAAAGAAGCATCTCAGCGAGTTGGTCATCCTGGAAAACTCTGACAATGCTATCTGTATCATTAATGACACAGCTCAGTTTAACAAAGTGACCGCTGATTACAAGTTCACAGCTCTGCCTGATCATCGCTGGAGGTGTGAAGTTTACCTCGAGGCACAGTATGTAGCTGCAGGAATTGGACCCAAGAAAATAGTTAAGCACATTGCAGCAAAGGAGGCCTTGGCCACCTTGAGGCAGACACAGGCTGTGGTCAAATCCAACCTAAGAAAGGAGGGTCACAACGACGCCATATCCCGATCCCAGATCCTGGCTCGCTCTGGAGAGGAGGCCACGAGGCAGGAGATTAAGGAAGACAACATAGGAAACCAGCTGCTCCGCAAGATGGGCTGGAAAGGAGGTGGGCTGGGTCGAGACGGGGAGGGCATCGCAGAACCAATCAAAGTAAAGGAACAGTTCTCCAGAGAAGGTTTGGGCTTGGACACGGACAAAACAGGAAATCAACTAAGCAAGCGTGACATTGAGGGCATCATTCGTAATTATGCCAGTTCAGACCGACAGGACGATCTCCGCTTCTCCACTGATATCAACAACGATGAGCGAAAGCAGATCCACCAGATATCTCAGAAATACGGCCTACGGAGCAAGTCGTATGGACAGGGATGGCAGCGGTTCCTTATCGTCAGTCGCAAAGTGCACAAAGACCAGCTGATTGGTCAGCTTTTACAGGAGGGACAGGTGGGACGATATGAGCTCGTGAAACCTCAGGCCTCTCACTGATTTGCATGTTTGGCAAAATTAAATAAAAATCATCAGACATCTGATTGGACTTCAGTACATATCACTCTCAAGTGTAACTTCTGTATACTTGTTTGTGACAAACGTACACGCGTACATAAAAGAGAGGCCTTCAGGGATCACTCGTTGTTTCTGCATCCCTTTGCCATGAACTGTACTTTAGCTTTAGCAGGAGCTCTAGGATTGAGAAGAAGTGATTTTTCTTTTTTTCTCCTGCCATTCCAGGTATTTTTGTTTTCACTTTTGCACAACGAGCTCATGTTCAGTTCTCTGTGGCTTCATGTTATGCAGACGTTCTGGATATTTTATGAAGTTAAAAAGGACTTTGATGTATTTTTCACCAAATTCTACTTTTTGCTTCATGGCATTTTAAGGAACCTGGCAAAAAGAATGCATCATTTTACTTTTTTAATATTGTTGAATCATGATCAACATCAAACTGTAGCTAAGAATCAGTCTCACTGTGGTGATACATCTCGATCTCTCTACCAGCAATGTCAGTCATTCTACAAATATTAACTGCATCCATAATCAGAAAATCCTCACATGGAAATTGTAAGCTGTGATCTTTGTTCAATGTCAGATGTGTTGGTTTATGTGAGTACAGTCAACCTGTCTGCTTGTTTTCACAGCTGTAATGACTAAATAAATTAAAACTGATAACAATAAGATGGATATTTTTGTACTGTGAGTAAATAATGCAACAAAAACAACTGATGTATATTTATTTTATTTACAAGAAAATGTACAGGTTGTTAAATGGGTTACCAGTGCAAAGTCTTATAATCAGAAAACAGACACCATCCCGTTTAAACAGTATCATCAGCTTATTACGTCAGCTGATATGTAAGATTGTAAAATAGCATAGAAATGTTCTCACTCACTAAATGTCAGCATCATGAAACTCTGTGCAGGAAACAAAGTTAAGTTCCCAGAAAGGGAACTAAATGTCTTGTTTCGGTGTTGAAGAGGGACATATATATTCAACAATATCTAGAACTTTCTTAAAATCTAAAGGCATGGCCTGACAAGAGCAGTTGAGTGAAAAAGACCCTCAAGGCATCTGTTGGGTTGTTAGAGGGATGGATGTCCATGCCAGTTTGTTGTATCCCTCTGAAAGGCTATTACAAAAAAAAGAAAAGGAGTGAGGCCACTGAAACGGAAGAAAAAACACCCCTGAACGGCTTTTTTTGTAAATATGAACTGTCTCTATCTACACAGCAAGCACATCTAATTAACAGTCACTGTGTCATCCAACCAGTTTACTTCATGTGTAAATAAACAGGTAGAAAAGTGACAACTGAGAGATTGGCTTTTGCCTTTTTTTGGAAAGAAAAGAGTTGGGGCATGTAGCAAGTAACCCAAATATAACAAGGTACATTAACTTTTAACAAACATATGCTATTGGCCAACAATAGCAATCGGCAGGAGTGAATGCCACAACACAACAGCATACAAACTTAGCGACAAATATACTGAGAAGGATTTTAAGATGTGCCATTTTATTTCTGTGAGATCAGTCGTTTTCTTGATCCGGGGCCGGACTCTGTGGCTGGACTCTGTTCAAACACGAACAGTAACGGGGGTCAACAGTCACGCCAACTCTGTTCAACAATAGCAGAAACTCTCTTCTCGTACTCCCGCTTGTTTTCCTGGTACAGCTGGGCTGCTTGGCTGTTGGCTGGACTGTTTGGGTTTGGCTCATCCAGTAAAGACTTTAAATATACAACAACAAATGTCAGAAGGTTAGGTTTCAAATGACTTGTACTTGTTTACAATATTAATAATAATGTAGAAAATATTTCCGATTGTCAATAGAATTATCCCAATCTGCATTAGAACCATGATTAGAACACAATAAATGAATCTGCACAAAGCTGTGGCAACCTGCTACCTGTTAATAACTACAATGTATTTTAAATAAACTAGAATATACCAAAAGCATATTTTTAATAAATGTTACTTTATGCACATCCTAGGTTTAACAATAGAGGTTGACTGAGTTTGGTGAGATCAATATCAGTTTACCTCTCGGCACCGAAACCAGTACCAATATCTGTCTTTTTTTACTTTACTTATTTAAAGATAACATCATGTTTTTAGTGGGCATTTAGACAATGAACTAAGAGTTTTAGAAGTATTTAATTCATATAAATACAATTTAAAGCAGCAGATACAGAAATACTTGTAATTTGTGGGCACACCAATACTTTTTAAAATTTGAACTTGAAAGTAGTGTCACATAGATACTTTGATATCATTTTCCTATGGCAAATCGGGTTTTCTGGTCTAGCCACACTGATTTTCTTGCAGTGTTCCTGTTTGACTATAGATAGAATCGAAGGGATGAAACCCTCTTTAATGGTCACACATGCAGAGCACACAGTGAAATGTGTTCGCTGCTTTTAACCCACCCTAGTACCAGGAGTCTAGTACTAGGAGCAGTGGGCAGCTATTGCACAGCGCCCGGGGAGCAATGGGAGTGGAGTGGGTGAAGAGGGATGTCCGGTGCCTTGCTCACTATGTGTTTACTATTGTTTGGCTGATGACTCCATATATTTTTCTCTTTATATTGCGCAAAATCAAAAAAGTCTGGCATAAAAGAAGGTTAGATTACCTGTATTGAAGTTAAGATTGAAGAGACATCGTACGTTGGACTCCAACGATTCTGGAGTATATCTAAGCATATGCTGCCATCTGCATACACTGCAAAGGAGAATGCATAATTTAAAGCTTTTCAGGGTTCAATCAAGGATAAATATAACAAATGTAATTGCTGCGATTGAAATGTAGTGTAAAATACAAGGTACATACCATTTGGATGAAACATTTTGGAGACAAATCGCACTGTTGGAGGTTTATTTGGATATTCCTCTGTGAATTCAATGGTAAGTTTGAAGGTTCCTGCAAGTGAAACAAATAATGGCATTGTATGATTTGAGATAAAAAATAGTGCATTTCAGTTATAAAGTCAAGAAGAATGTTTCATGCATGTATCAACTTGACAGAATCTGGTTGTTTTAGTGAGGTTGAAATAACACTCCAAAGCAGGATTATGTCACTTTACTAACTCAGCTTCCAAAGTTACTGATCAGAAACTGATTATAAAAAAGGCCAGCTAATTTAAAACAGTTATTTAATTGACGATATGACTACTATCTAAATTTGACATTGTTATTGTGAATTATTTTAGCCATTTTAATCGTGTAGCAACAATTTGATATCAGCAGCCCTTGTTTTAAATTAAGTATATTGTGCTTTAAGGAGGACTTACCATCTTCAAAGGGTGTTCCCTCCGGTCTAAAAATAGAGGAAAAACCACATGGGGACATAAACAACAATGATATCACATTTATTTGATGTCCCAAAACCGGCATTGACTACTTCTACAAGTTGTCAATGCCTGTTTTTTTACTACTAGTTTGTAAAAACAACTGATAAATGTCTTTCAAATGTATTATTGTTATTATATTAACAAATCCTCTCCACTTACCCAAAAATGACAGCGTTCCACACCATGATATTGTTTTCTGATGGGGCCCCACTAACTCCAGCTGGAGGATCTTCTTGCAGCCTAACAAATAAAAGCACAGTGGTATCTCAAATTACAGGTGACATTATACAGAGTATTACACATAATTACAAGTCAAGGTTTTACTACTAGAATAACAGCATAAAGCCTGATGGTAGTCAACTGGGCAAGTCATTTTTAATTTTCAAAAATAGGAGTGAAGACTAATGTAAGAATCAGCAGGCAGGCTATGTTAAATATAAAAGCCGGAATACAAGCTCTAAATTGTATTGTAAACCTAGGTGGGCAATATTATGCTGAAGGAGGGCTTAGTTTGCAGATTTCCCAATGGCTTCTACATTAACGCAAGAAACATTATGCTATAAATATGCTTTTTATTTATCTGAAATGTTTGTTTTTGTAATGTGATAACATCAATCTCACTGTGGTAATATTGTAAAGTGATCAAATAATGTTGTCTTTAATGTACTGCCCTACCTGAGTAAAATGAACAATGCCTTAAGAGATTGGCTGTTCCTTTTCGATGCCCCACTATAAGTCACTCTTCAAAACACTTGTTCTTGATACCATAGCTTTATATAGCCTTATTTTGGTTTTCACTTATCCATTCACTTTGTCTATTTGCTTCCATGCATCTTATGATTCATATGTGTTATTTGCCTGATCATACTTTATGAGCTATGATAATACTGTATCTTCTTTTCCCATGTTTACATTGCTTTGTTCTGTTTTAAGTATGTATGTACAGCACTTTTCTTTCTACCTTAATTACCTAAAAAGAAATGTGCTATGAAACTTAAGTTATTTATTGTTGACTTGATTGGCCATTGTCCATTAGTCATGTTGTGAAAAATAGTAAGGATACTGTATTGATTGATTTAGCCAGACTGGATTAAGTCTTGGACCCTGACACCACCAGTATTGTTTCATTTCGTTGGAACATGCTGTGGAGATCAGGGATAATAAACCATGTGCCATGATCATAGCGGACTGTGCTGGGTGTCTGCGGGTTTTTTAGTGAATGCATGGCAGATGGTTGCTGATCCTGAGGCTTAGATAGTGATCTATTAGGGCCCAGGAATAGGAGCTCCCCTTGATATGTATGTGTGTGTGTTTGTGTTTGCACACTGAATCCACCCAAACGTGAAGGGCCATCTGGTCAATGACTCTAACTGTATCCTAAATATTCAGTTACAAATACATCCAAAAAGGAGACATTTTAAATGAACGGAGCCATTGACAGTTTCTGTAAAGGCTCCAGGAGAAGTGAATATGTTACCATTTTTAAAAAAATCGCATAGTACGAAATATTTATCTACGAGAACAAGCAGTGACCATAAATTACACAACGTTACTACTCCTGGGTGCCTTGCCAACGATGGCTACCAGTAACGTTTACAATGATCGTAACCTTTGAATATAATGCCAGTCAACTTGTTAACACTACCTAAAATAAGGAACAGATTACCTATTCGAAGACGCGGTTATAATCCGCCGGTGTTTGTGTTTTTATTTATATGTTTAAGTTTCAGAATGTCGATCAGGCTAACGCGAACAAGCTAGCCTAAGGCAGCTAATGTTAGCTTAAACTAGTGTCTGGTTTTTTCCGCTTACCGTTTAAAATCTCTCATTAAACGTCGTCTTGCTGGAGTTGACATCCTGTTTACACGGAAACCTAAATCCTTGGCATAAAATTGAGCGGCTCAAATGTGGGGAAATGTTTTTTTTTTTAATCGGTGTATTATTTTAACTCCTAGCTCGCTAGCCAACGAAAGCTAGTTTGTCAAATATTTGGCTGCCTCTGTTAGTCTAAGGGCGCTACCACCGACACTAGAAAGGGGACATTCACATTCACTGGCACTACATTGAAGAGTCCTATATCCACATAAACAAAGACAACATCATCACTTAACCTGATATTTTGCCACTTTGCATTTCTCCTTTCATTCATCAATTTTAGCGCGTTTAAATATAACTACAGTTTATTTAATTTGTTTAGAGAACCCCGTCTCTGCACTTGTGCAATTCCACAGCAAATTACGTCATATGTTTAGCACCCATATTTAGTTTGTTGGGAAGACAGAAAAGATGTGTATGATTTACGGGTTTCTCATTCCATTTCTACGTATTTTAATTATTTGCTTCCCAATTCATGGATATACTGAATCCATATACAAATTACTACTTAAAGTATAACCAGTGTAACAAGGTATTTAAGGCTGACAACCTGTATTCAATGTACAGTACCGGTGAAAGACCACTAGAGGGTACCTATTCCCTAGTGTAGTGTATTGTGGAAAAATAACATTAATCAGTTGAGGTCTCTTTTAAATGTGGGTAAAGGGCCCTATCCTATGTTTTACATAAGGTGATTGTCCTATATTGTGTTAGTAGTCCCAGTAAGGCATACGATAGGGCTGTTTTAACCTTATCTACAAATATAAATTTGATCATTTGTTCAGCCCAACATCATGCAAGTCGTGCTTTCAACAGAGTCCCTGCTTCAACATTTTAGTAACTATTGAATATTTTTGAATGAGCAATGTTTGTCATTATTGCATTATGTGGTACAAAAATGCGCATTTTCTAATTTCCTGCAAGAAAAAAAGTCCATTAAAATCATTGTTGTTGCTAATTATTGTCATATCACAGTCTTTGAAAGAAAATCCCCCTAGCATTTAATACAGAGTATACAGAAACATATTATTTCCTCCATAAAAACGGTGGATTCATTTAAAGAAACGGGCAACTAAGGGATTATAATAAAAAAATAAAATGGATAAGGTACTTCGTAGTAATGATCAAGATTGGACTTGGTTTTAACGTTAAATGGGAAAATAATATTACTGATTTGTATTGCAGTATTGTGACGCAGACACATTTGTCCTCTAAACTTATTGAACAGCTTCCTTTAAGCGATGTGCAATGTAAAGTTGTAAACTAAATCGTGTTGTGCTTATCATTATAAAAATACTATTTCTAATGATTCAAAGATAACGCGGATGGGTTTATAAAGGCCGCTTTCATGCTCTTTGCGTCCCTCCCATATGGTCTAGCGGTTAGGATTCCTGGTTTTCACCCAGGCGGCCCGGGTTCGACTCCCGGTATGGGAACAGACCTTTTTCGCAAAATCTCAAATACTAATATGTAATGTGTATTTGACCACTCAAACAATTAATCTCCTTAATCATCATATAATATTTCACATATTGTGAGTCTTTTAGCTTACGATAATTTATTATTACAAAATGTGCTCATCATTTCCAGGGAACATACTGTAGTGTAGACCACGCCCGTTGAGGAGTTTATCCTCAATTGCTCTCATCTCACAAGGGCTTGGACCTTTCCGGAAGATGCAAGCCTATTACCACTTATATCTCCCTGTGCTAACACTTATCGTAGTCAACCAAAATACAACAACAACTTCGACTTTAACCCAACTTAAACACTATGCTACTAACCGAAATGTTTTATTTCGCAATTTAATTTGACTAAATGTTGTTTCTGTTGACAACATCGGTCGGTAAACTGCCATCTTTACCGCGTTAACTAAACATTAACATTTGCCGAACCGTCGCTCGGATACCATTTGGTTAAAGGTTAACTTAGTTAAAGTGCAACATTAATTTGTTGACGCTGGATTTCACGTAAATATAGCCAACCAATATCGATTGTGGATAACACATTTATTGCTCACAATTTCTTTTTATAGCATTCCGCGGAGAACAAATAACTTTTTTTCATTACGTGTTTCAAACCACCATCTTCATTTGAAGTGTAATGCTCCAGTGTGAAACACCTAGTGAATCCTCTGTTCTTACTACTACCAGGCTACAGCCAAACTTTGGTACGGGGCCAATCATTTCCCAGGAAAATGTGACTGCTAGGAATTCCCCACACATCAGTCAGCCCCTGTCTGTCGGAGAAAACTGCAACCTTGTGTCGGGAAGCCCAGGAAAGCAGTAGCAGGAGGGTAAAGCTGACCGGTGACTGTGTGATGATGGAGCTGTAGCACCGTGTGTCTCCAACTCAACCGGGGATTATAATGTTTTTCTAACGACGCCGTGTTTTCATGAGGACAACCACTAACTGTCTGCATAAAGTCAGGGGAAATGCTGTGCTTATGAAAACTTCTACTAGGGTAAGTCCACCATCAAACATGTTTTATACTTATTAAGTGCTATTATACAATGTGGAGTTTATAGTTGTTGCTTTATATGTGACTTTCACTGGCTTTTGTAGAATAGTATTGCAGTTTATACATTTTATTGTACTATATCTACAGTAAGAAAGGAGTAAGAAAGTTATCAGACTACAAGAAGTTTGACTGGGCTCATATGATGTCAGTTCAGCCCCTAGGATACATGACCTGCAGCATAGAACTCCATAGTTTGCTGCCCTTTGTGTCAGTCAGCCTGCATGTGACTGGACTGATGTATGTTTGTGTTTCTTTGTGTCTGTGTGCTGAACATCTTGACAATGATGTGCTTCATGTCTCTTTGGTATTGACATTTCTACAGCTTCAACTTTAATAATCATCCAGTTGTGTGAAACAAGTTACATTAAAAACAAACTGGTTATCTCTTTGTTTTGACATGTTTAAAGTGATCAGTATATGTCAACTTGGAATCTTGGACATTTTAATGGTCTTTAAAATCACACAAGTATTTCCAGATATTTCTCTATAGCAGCCTTTAAGTATCTGACTCCATCATGTGTCACTTATTCCATTGAAGAAGTCTCACTGAACATACTGACTGAAATAGGAGAGAATTAAGATACATTCTCATAGAGCTTCCTCGAAGTGCAAATCCACATGCTGCTTTTCACAATTTCAACAAATATATGTCTGCAAAGCCTGACAATAGTGGGTTTGTTTCCACATTATAGTTGATCAACCCTATTTCTGTGGCAATCTAAATGTTTGCCAGATGTTTACCACATTTTTCAGTTAAGATGCTTCTACCATGGGACAGACTAACAAGCTCTCATTGGTCCACTGCCATTGCTCCCTTCAGAGTAGGCGGCCAAGACGCAGAGGGAGGGGAAGAGTTACGAGCTCTTAGCCTGTCAGTCCCCACTAGAGACAGGACCAGCTGGACCCACCAACCCTCTCTCCCCTTCCCTACAATCCTCCTATGGTGGGAACACTGGGCAGAGACTTGTAGATAATTGGAAACTTCAATCCACTGAAAGCAATTATCCACAGCAGGACTTTCCAAATATACTCCAGTGTGGAACTGCCTTGTTTGCTTCAAGCATGTGCCCTGTGTTTCAGACACATCTTGCTATGCTTCTGCCCAAACATTTAGCTTCTCTTTTGCCTCCCTGTCAGCTCTGCTTTGATAGTTTTAATGCTGCGTGTTTGTGCACACTGCAGACTGGGGTTGAGGCCAAAGCATTTCCTGGTAACCTTCTTATCCTGTGACAGTGATGTCACCATCAGCAGACATTAATGGAGAGCTGTCCTGTGCTGTTCTCAGTGACGAGCAGCTCCTCAGACATTAGACACTTCTTCTTCTTACCCAAGATGTACCCGCCTGCCTTAATGGGCTGCTAGATATTGATTTGGCTACGCAAAAAGAGTATCTGAGCTTTTATCCTATTTAGAATGCAGCACTCTGGTTTCACAAAAGCTTTCAGAGTGGCCTTGCAAGAGGCAGGGAATCTTTCCCTAGAATGTGTGGTAATCTAAAAACAGTTTTACCTCCCTGCAACACTGTGAAGAGATACCATAAATAAGTATGTAGGAGCTAATGTGACATTATCTAAACCAGAGATTTAATGTTCAGTGTCCACAAATGCAGCATAACTTGTACATGATACATGCTACTCTTGCAAGTTTAAAAAGAGTGTGAAACGCTTTCTAAGGCCACCATCTTTGTCTGATGATACTTTGTGTGACTCAGTGTAATTTGCCTGTGAAGAAATAACCACAAGATGGCAATGTTCATATGCTTTGACTAAACAAACAATCATATGAGATGGCTGACACCTCAAATGACTTGCAGAAATGCAGGAACCGACTTGTGAAAAGAGAAATAAAACTGTTGTACTTCTCTTTTTTTCATGTAGAAAAAAAGACCTCAGGTTTGGGTTGTTTTCTGTTTAGGGTGTGCAGAGGAACTGCCGTTTGCAAAGTTCCTTAATAGTACGCATGTCGTTTCACCACCCCAGGCTTTTGTCACCTGAATATCACCTTGTCGGACATGTTTGATTGCTACGCAGCAGCAGTAAACCGTGGCCGCTCGACCTGACGTCAGAGAGTAAGGAGAGCCGAGGGAAATTCCACCTGTAACCTCATTCTGCTCTCATGCCTCCTGTCTCACCAGCATGTGACTTTGGAGGAGTCATCCTGCCTGATTTTCTCCATGAATATGCGCTTTGTCATGATGTAATGCAGGGCTAAGGTACATCTATTTTTAGCATGTCAGGGGACAACTTGCCTTTGTGTTTGTTGTCATATAAGTTTAGTTTTGTAAAATAAGCTGGACACGCAAGGTGGAAAATACACTCATCTAATTTTTGTCTAAAAAGCTAGTTACAATACTTTTTTGCTTTTAAACAAACAGACATTACATTGTGTTATTTTCAGTTAACAGAACTGAAATCCTACAGACCAAAGAACACATTAGCTTCAATATACATATGTATTGAAACTGGAGTGTAGGATGTATCCGTATAGTCCACCCTAGCAGCATGTTGACATCATGAGATGAGGTAACCACATTACTTAGATATTTGTATGGTGCCTGCAGAGGTTCAAGTAAGCACCCAGTGTAGTAAGCTGGATCAC